AGCCACTTTGAATTCCAACTCTGCGATCTTGTTCTTGATCATCTCTCTCAATTCCGGGCGATGCAGTTCAGCTTTTGCTGGAACCGCTTTTGGCATTGCAGGGACACAAAATTTCGGTCTATCCTTTGGAATGACCTCCCATGTTGACACACTAGGCTCACCTGAGGGGCTAGGGTTTACCCGAAGCTTTCTTGCAGTAGCGACTGCACCTTTCTTCTTCTTCGGACCCTTTGATGCTGAACTTGATGCAGCACCACCGCTGCCTACAGCCATCTTTTCAGCCTCCTCCTCAACAAGCTTTTGCCTATCCTTCGGACTAAGCATTTTCCAAAAATCCGATGGAATCGACTCAGGGCGTTTTGACCCTTTGTACGTTTTCACAAGGCGTGTGCCGTCCCAATGATAACCATCCGGGATTGGAGTACCAGTTGGAGTGTACTTGATATCAGGAAAAACTGGTTCCTCAGCCGGCCTTTCGTCACTGGCAAGTGCGTCAAGCACTGCCTCCGTTGACTTGTCAATTGCTACTTCACTTTCTTCTGCATGTTCCTCTGTTTGCAGTTCGGATTGAAACGGAATCGGACGAGGATCAGCAATGACATTGTCGACTAGGCGGTCCGGCTTGGGCTCTTTGGCCTCTTTCAATGCACGGAGTGGGAAGACAAAACCTCCCGCGATGAGCTCAACACGTCGTGCTCGCTGCACTGTGATGCTGCCCGTTTCTGCATGGTAATCCAATGCTTCTAACTTGGCAACAAGATACTCACCTTTCCATGCAAAACCAGGTTGAATGTGGTATCCCAAAAAGATTCCATCATTTGCTGTTGGTGATGTCTTTCCAGATGTGTTGTCAACCCTTTTTGGATTATTCCAAAACAGTATCTTTGCACCGAAAGGAATCAACTGACCTGGAAAATCTTCTTCGAATCTGAGTTTCCATGGGGCATCATCACCGTTGAGCTGTGGCGTGGCATTCACTGCCATGGAGAAATGCTGCATAGCCATAGGCCAATACTGCAATGGAAGACCTGACTGCACGAGGTTTGTGCGTGTGCCTTCAAGCATGTGCCTGATCTCCCTCCCCACAAACGACTTTGAACTGTCCACATACTCTGTTGATGTTTGATGTCTGTACCCCAATTCTGAAATTGTAGCAATAAGCTCTCGTGAATTGTCAGTGTAAACTGCCCCAACTTCATCCTTGTGAGATAAGAAGTGGTTGAATGCATTAACACATGATTCACTCGACTTTGTCTGGCTTGGATAGACGTGTCTGAACTGTGTGTGGATGTCCTTCATCACCAATGCCACTGTTTCACCTTTGACGCCTTCTTCCACATTGGATTTGATTACAGTATGGTCAGCGACAATGTGATCCCCAAAACTTTTGGTCTCCAACCTTTTCTGTCCCCCTTTCTTCTTTGCGGGTGGCGCCATCATGCGCGCCTTCTGACAGATTTTGCAAAATGGATTCTTGGGGTAATGGCAAAACTGGTGAGACTTGCTGCATGCCTCTTGCTCAAGGTCGGATGCCTTTCTAGACCTGACGTATTCGGTTTCGCTATCATGAGCTACTCCCTCATCCACGCCTTCTTCATCGGCACCTTCTGCTTTTGCAGCAACCATTGCAAAAAGACGTAACAGATCACAATCTTTCTTGAACTGTCCACTGTTCAAAACACGACAAGAGCTATCGATGACCGGCACACGGCCGTCTACGTTAAGCTCAATGACTCCCATGTCCGGACGAATGAAGTAAGGCCTACCATCAGCTGGCCACACAAAACTGTAACCCTGTTCCATACACCTGACCCCAACCGAAAGAACAGCAGGAGTTTCCTCAAGAATGTATGGTGAAAACGGCTGATGTAGGGCATCGACTTTTACGTCGGCCACCTCATCCGCTCGTGTCGAACCGTTTGCTGTAGCAAGGCTGATCGGAGTATCGCTGATACGGCGGTTTGTCGCCTTTGCGGTCTTCAGCATACCCTCACTGATCAAATCCTGTTCACTGCCCGTGTCAACCAACCAAACACATCCATCTTTTGATGCCGGTGTAGCAACAGTGGGCAAATGAGTGTTACTGACTTTGTTCTTGGGACCGATCATTGCTCTACAGTGGTTGCATGATACTCCCCCTTCTGGGTCATTGCATCGGAATCGGCACTTGGGCTGCGTCTCACTGCCGAAGAGCTTCACAAGTTCCTGCAACTGTCGGGCCGAAACCTGAGCACGGTGAGCCACGAGTTTGTCGGGTTTTGGCACTGACTCTGAATCAGGGAACGTCTTCTCATAGATTCGGGGTTTGTGCACTACCTTCCTCTGTTCACCTGTTGCTGGGACTTTGATGTATGCCACTTTTGATGAAAACACAATAGCTCTATGGCATTGTTCTTTCATGGCCTTTGTAGCTTTCGGCAACCCTTTTCCCTTTGCTATGCATGCATACCTTTGAGTAATGCATGGCGCAGCTTTTGCACTGGCCTTCTTCTTGGGTGCAGGGCTATTGGTGCGTTTTGGATCCTTTGTGGGTGCAGCTGCAACTTCATGTTTGTAAAAACATTTGTCACCACGACGACATTTGCCCTGTTGAAAGTAAGTGCATGGGATCTTGGCCATCTCTTCCTTCGACTTTCTGTTGGGGGAACCACTTCTGCTACCACCTTTGCCCTTACCCTTTCTTTTGGGGGTACCAGATCTTGAGGAATCTTTGACATGCTTGTAGGGACAGTCTTTACCCTTTTCGCATTTGCCATCCCTGAATTTGTAGCATATTTTATCCCCCTTTCCACTCTGGCTACGGCCACGGGTTCGACCTCGGTCGCCCTTTCCTTTGCCGCGATCTTTGCCCCCCTGAGCGGGTGCAGCGGGCTGAGGCTTTTCGGTCTGCTTGTTCTTTTCAACGATTCTGTTTCTGTTTGAACGGAGTCTTTCTCTATCCAAAAGATCACGAATGTTTCTCAACAAAAATGCATAAGACTTTTGTTCTGACTTTTCAGGAGCTCTGTCGAATGCTTCGATGTCATACTTCATCAATTGACATTTTCGGATTTGTCTGAGTAAGATGTCTCTGAGAACCAAATCATCTGGTGGGGTTTCCATGCCGGCAATTGTGGCGTCCCATCGGTTCAAAAACCTTCTAAGGTCCTCCACAGATTCTCCAGTGCGAACGACTCCAAGTAGGTCCTCGACGCGGTAGAGACTGCCAGCTTCCTCAGACGTCCTGAAGTAATCTTCAAACATCAAAAGGACTCTCCTACCTCTGACTTGGATCCCTTTCTTTGACTTCTCATCTTTGAAGTTATGGATCTTTGTTGCTAAATCACCTTTGGCCGAGCGAGTTAACGCTGCCGACAATTTGGTGTCAAGTGTGATAAACTTCCCAGGATCCTGCAGCTTTTCCTCCAACTTTTCCCTAGGGGTTTTGTTGTCAAAGACTTCATTGAGCCAAAGCCAAGCCTCATCGGGTTTGTCGGAGCACGACTTCACTTCATCCCTGACATGATTACGCCAGTGACGATAAGCTTCTGGGGCAGGCATGTCGTTCAGTTTGATAGTCTCTGCCTCTTTTGTTCGGAGCTTTTCACCATCTGAATCCTTTGAAGTCAGTCTAGTGATGAGATCTAGCAATTGTTGACCTGAAAGACCTAAGCCTGCTTCAGCTGCTTTCTTGCCAGGGTCGCTTGCTATGACTGTAGGACTGGGCACACTATGCTCTTGGTTTGCATCGTCATCATTTTGTCTTTGAACTGGCAATGGTGGAAGTTTTGGAGGGGCTGCTGATCCGGCAGGGGTAGTTGAGAACAAGTTGCTCAATCTTTCCTTAGCGTCCATGGCTAAGCTACTCATACCAGTGTTTGGCATGGGTTCTGCTCCAGCCTTGGTACCGACCGCTGATTTTGGGGTCATGTACAAATCGACATTATTACCGCCTTGTGCATCATCAACTTCGACGGCTCTGTCGACACTGATTTCCGGGGCGCTGTACTTGTTGAGCTTCTCCATCAAATCCTCCACTTGTCCCTGCAATTGGAAATTGAGTTCAGCAGCTTGGTTTTCCTGCCTACTGCATTCCTCTCTAATCTCCTGGATTACAGCTTGTTCCTCCTTCTTGAAACCTTCCATGCCATTCTTTGCATACTCCACTGTTTCGTCCACGATTCGTTTACAGTCTGCCTCGAGGCTACCTCTGAGTTCAGAAAACCTTTGTTCATACTGGGCTGTAACATGGGCTACCTTTTGGTTGGCTCTTTGTTCAGCTTCCAGTGCAACTGCATTTGCAGCATTCTTTAGCTTTGCGTTTGCATCGCTAAGTTCCTGTCTCAGTTTTGCTACCTCATGCTCAGTTGCCGTTTGGGACATTGAATACTCTGACACTAGGTGTTCATGTCTGCGATCAGCTTCCGCACGTTGCTGGGCGATTTCGCTAAGGCAAATTCCCTCAAACTCTTGGTACAGTTGCTGGACCTTTTGTTCCATGAGATGTGTGTGCCTCTCCTCCGCCTCTTGCCTGAAAGCATCAATGTTACCTTCGTTGATGTAGGTAAGATTGTTTTGCACGAACTGGAAATACGCTTGCACGGGCTGTGTGAAGAAACCTTCATCCACTGACATGGGCGTGGGGTTTGTCCCAGCCGGCAAGCTTTGTTGTGAACCAGTTGTTGCAACCACTGCTCCAGTAGAGGGGACAAGGGCGCCTCCACCTGAGGTGTCACCAGTTGTCCTTTCCATGGCTTTAAGAGACTACGGCTGATAACCTGTATTTTCAGGTTTCAGCTGGGGTTAACCTAGTTATACCCAAATAGACTGATAAACCTAAAATCCGCTAAGCTAGCAACCCAAACTCCTCTTTTGACTCGGGCCGCAATGCTGTCATACGTGACTATATTACATGTGTGTTTTATGTGAGGTGATTTTACAGCAACAAGCGTCAATCCAAACAAGGAGGTTGGTTCAAAATGGTTCTTAATTATTCATATTATTCCCAAATCCACCAGTGAATGATAATTTCATCTATCAGATCTATCATTTCATCACAATTTTCAGGGCTGTTTCCACTGATCTCATCCCTTTTTTTGCACCAGGAGAGGCTGCTTTTACGGGGACGATGGGACGGGACGAACCAAGGTGCTTCCGAGCTGCTGAACATCACAGTGGGAACCCAATCCATTTCGCCTCTTTATTGGGCGATCGAAAGTGGCTCTCTCAACACTGCGAAGGCGATGTTGGAGGAGAGTCACCTGGAGATTGAATGCTGATTAACAGGTGATGAAAACAGGTGATGAAAACAGGTGATGAAAACAGGTGATGAAAACAGGTGATTAACAGGTGATTCCCCAGTTTTTCCAGAGAAATCATCTTCAATCACCTGTAACAGCAATTGATGTTTTTTTTTTATCTGGAAAAATCACCTGTGAACAGTTCGGGGAATGAAACCACCGGAGATGGGGTGGTGCACCACATGGAGACATGCGAAGCTCGCAGAACTATCGCAGCTATGTTCTAAATGTGTGTCATAATTGTCATAGACTTTTGTGTGCGTCTAAAATTGCTGGTTGGTGGTGACTGGAACCATGGAATTTTGAATGACTGTCCATTCAGCTGGGAATGTCAGCACACCCCAACTGATGAACTCCAGGATTTTTCAGAGGGGTAGGTATACCACCAACCAATTAGATTCATGATGTCTTGCCGAATTTGCCATTAAAACATATTAAAACTCAGATCCCCAGAAACTTCGCTGAGAAAACTCAGATCAAGTCCCGCCATCCAACAGTCATTGCAGTTGAAGTCAAGGGGTGTTTGACCTTGGCCGTCAAGATTCCCCACAAGCCATGGTGGATTTGAATGGGAGAATCAACGATTTCGTGGATTTTCCAGCCATGGTTGATTGAGGGTTTGAATCGTTGTTGTTTGTACCAACCATTCATTTATTTACCAACCATGCAAATTTTCGGTTGGGCATGGGCAAGGGTCTTTGTATACAACATTATACAACCGTTTTCGGTTGTTTGTTCATCATGGCCAGTGGTCAGATAGCGGCTATATATCTCTCAGTCCCCAAGGGTATCCAAGGGTGATGTTTAAGTCTAGTAGAAATAATTTCAATCTATTCAAATCTTAAGTGTGATTTGAATCTGAATTGATTTCACTTGAATTTTGATCCTTCGAATCCTTCCAATCTTCGCTTCAAATTCCCAAATCTTCCGCCAAGCTTCCGGCACAGCTGGCAGCAGGACCTCTTGGTGATCCGTGCGGATCGTGACAACTACTACTATGGCCACCTGGTGAATCCGATGACTTCCCTGGGTAAATTTCATCACGACAACTCAGCCTGTTCGACCGAGCCCTGGAAATCATGGGTTTATGACTAAGGGAAATCATCCCCATTCATGGCCGAACTCTTCAGGTTAGTGAAATATGATAATTTACCATAATTTACCCAGATTTCCGTTTCCTCCGGATCTTCCAGGTTTTTTTGAAGAGTTTCGGCCTCTTTTTGGGGCTTCGTATGGGACCATCATCCCAAAGCCAAGCTGAGTGAGGTGCGTGAATGGTTCTCCAATCTACCCAGATGGATATCTGGTTGGTGGTGACTGGAACCATGGAATTTTGAATGACTTTCCATATATTGGGAATTTCATCATCCCAACTGACGAAGTCATATTTTTCAGAGGGGTGGCTCAACCACCAACCAGATATATCACGATGGATATATATCATGATATATCTAATCTACCCAGATACATGTTTTATATGGGAATGGGTCAAAACCTGAATGAGAAGGGTATATACAACACAATCGCTTTACCATCCTGGCAGTTTGTGGTAATACCTGGAAATACCATGTGGAGAACGATGGTAAAACATCCACCCCCTAGTCCCCTAGCAGCCCAGCAAATTAACATAGACCCTGAAAAACTCATCTTAACCATGTATGTTATCCCTCCAATGTCACCAAGGTGAGCCTGGCTTAACATCTGACCCTTTCTTCTTCTTTGATCTTCTTTCTTCCCACCTCTGCTTTCCATCAGTCCATATTGTCGGAAGTTTGACTTTTAAATGTCCTTCGATCATTTCTTCCCAAACATTTTGAGGGACCTTCAAGGTATGACGTTGCCCATCCTGAGTTGCCGGTGTGAGATCGGGCACTCTTTGGTTTTCGGCGCGCCCAAACCAAAAAAAAACAGAAACAGCATCCATATCCATAACCACCTAGACCCTCCTGGACCTATGGTCTAAGAGGCCGCCTGGTCATGCTGAGGCTGTGATCAACTGTTTGAAAGGCATCCAGAGATTATCCACAAGTTGAACTCGGATGCTCCGAATTTGCTGCGCACCCTGCTGGATGGTCTCGTGTGGAGATCTCGCTTGATTCTGCAAGGGGAGAGGAGAGTCGCTTGGCGCGTTAAGCGATGGTGGAGTCGATGGGAGGTGGTGAGTTATTTTGTTTTTCCAATGGAACATCCACCATTTGGGGCATCTATAGTTTTTTTTTTTTGTGGGGGGATCCCTTAAGCAAATCCAAAATCAAGGTTTGGGTTTAAGATTTGTTCGAGAATGTAATCGGCATTATCATTCCAACATTGGTTTGTTTACAGTTTGATACAGTCATAAGTCATCATAGATCTACATCATGTTGCACCATCAAGGGTTTCTGAATGGGAATGATTCGGTCGCTGATGAGTCACCATCATGAATCGATTGATCGTTGCAGAAAACCCTCGTTTCAGCAACAAAAAAAAATCCCGTCATGGGATCATCTGACCCTCAAAAGATGGTGGAGAATGGATCTAGTTGTAATTGTGTACCGTTTTATTGCAGCTGGTATGGAAAAATATGGGAAATATGAAAGGATATGAAAGGCTATTGCAACTGGAGAATCATGCTGGGGTGGAACCCACAGCTGGGCTGTCTTTGGATGTACCCCACTTCCGAATCGTTTTCGTGTTGCTTGGGCCCGAGGTCAACTACTACGTAAAGCACTTGGTGCAAAACGCTGATGGCGGTTTCAATCAAGCGCTGGAGTGGATCGTGGAAGGTGCATGGGGGCTGGCTATTTTGAGGCCCATCTTTACGAGATGGACTGGATGGACTGGAAACTTAGATCGTTCCATATCGTTCCACATTTACAAGAACTTTAGTACGTTGTAGTTGTACATTTTATCTCTTTTGACATTGACCTAGGAGCAGCCATGACATTCCCATATGTTCCATGTATAGTTTATATGTACCAGCAGTTTTACCCACATAACTGGGTCATTAAAAAAATCATTTGGGTTATTTTGGGGGGTAAATCTTATATATTTACCTACATAACTGGGTCATTTATATGCATTTAATGCATGAAATCTTGGTGTATTCACACACATGTATTTACCCACCTGTTGGGGTCATCAAGCAAAAGTAATTGGCATGGCGCAGCCATGTTGCTATGTACCCTAGGGCAAATGAACGTAGATGTAAGAAAAACATGACCAAGTCTAGCACCATGGAGCAGCGGGTTCTATGGCAGGCCAAGACCCCAAGATCATTTGCCACGACGTAGTGGTCCTCTTCGCCGACATGCTTTGGTCTGGTTTGGCGGGCCATTTCTTCTTATTGGGAAGGCAGGATTCGGTTTTCTTGGAACCACCAAGCTCCATTTCACAAAATTGGGTGTGGCTGACACATCTGAAAATTTAGGTCAACCATTGGTGTCTTTTGTCCTTAACAAAAACAGCTTTTGTTGGCCAAAAAAACATCTAGTGTGACGGTGGTTTGTTGCATCGTGAATTTTTCCGAGCCACAAGGTTGGTCAAGCGGATCACCGATGGCTAAGGGCCCCATTTGGGGACCCGGATCATTTTTCGAAATTTCTTGGGAAACATGCAGCTGGTTGGTGGTCTGGAACATTTTCTATTGTTCCATATATTGTGAATAGTCATCCCAACTGACTAATATTTTCCAGAGGGGTTGAAACCACCAACCAGGCAGGGTTTATCCCCTTATTTAGATAGATTTAGAATTATATTGAGCTAAGTTCACTCTGGTTTCAGCCCGTGTCAACGTGTAAATTGTCCCAACGCAATGAATTGAATCCCATGTCGCAGTACATCCTGTTAGACCCAGATGTTTCACAGTTCTTTAATATTATATCATATCAATTAATTAAGTATATAAACATATATATATATATATAATTATATGTATATATAATTTATATATTTATATTATATTATATATATATATCAATTAGATCCCATTAGATCCAAATATTTGGTGAACTCAATAGGCTCTACTGACCCGTTGACTGACAGGTGCTACTTCCTCTTCACCCTGGCGGTGTTCATCACGGGGCAATCCATCTTGCCACAGCTGCATGAGGACCTCAACAACCAAACTGACGTTCCCTGGCAGGATGGCAGATCTATGGCTCCGATGGCCAGGATTTTTTCGCTCTTAAAAAAACATTCGGTTTAATGCTATTAACAGGAACCTTATGTTAACTAACAATAAATTATAAAATATAATTAAATATAATTAACCTCTTCATTTGTTCTGGTTGATGAAGAGGTGAATCACCCTGAAAATCACCACTTAGCTGTGGTGATTCTCAGATGCCAGACCGGATTTTCATGCCAAAGGACATTGTTGATCACTGGTGTCTGTTTGTTGAGGATTTAGGGCTAAACTTCGCTAGTCTTCATCAAGATCTGGATATTCGATCCATCCTTGGGGACCGGTTCGCTTGGGCAGAGGATGAGGACGCCTCCTCATTGGGAAACGAATAATGTCTAATACTCTACTTTGCTGATTTTGATATAGATTTTATATAATTGGGATCGGCTTCGCAATTCCACGTTTGTTCATAACTGCCCCGATGTTTTCCAGCTCCGGTCCCACTGTGTCTCAACCAGCATTCCATCCGATTAGGAGTCAGCTGCGGAGCTTTGGGAATACATCCATAGTCCCAACAGACTTGGGAGCCAAGGATCAATGGCCATTTCAGGGACCCAAATTAGAGATATTTATACCTCCCATATATAAGGCCTATGTAACGTATGTAAGGCCTAAAGTTCAGCGAATATCCCCACGAAATATGGCCAAAAATATTTTACAGTACCTCCACTTTAGGGTCCTGAAATTCCCATTGAAAGGATCTACATTCAGAGTTTCCCAAGGCATTTTGTATAGATGACAACCATCATCCTGGACATCCAAGGCTGAACGGATCGCGATCTTTACTTGTCGCATCCTGATCTATGTCTTCAGCATGGGTCAACTCTTTGTAAACCAAGTGCGTTGCAACTTCGACGACGCAGGGGGTCATGTGGTTGGAGGCTTCCCGTGACCTCGAAAGCTTCTAAATCAACAAGTTTTGCACAAAGTGATAAGGATGATTTCATGGAATCACACGGAATCTCCTTACCAGCACCTATTTTGTGTTGATACTGAAGTTTGGTGGCGCTGTTCGCTGGTGAATGATCAGAGTGATGCAAAATTCGTGCCAGGTGATTCTCAACTATACACGTGAGGATGCCGGAACATCGGATGTGGTGTCCCTCTTCGTCATACCATTTGGAACCAATGGAAACTTATTGTTTCCTTTAGTTTAAAAAGAACTAGCTATATGACTTCAAAATTTCATGGTCTGTCAACATTTTCCCGACCAAAATTTCATGGTCTATCATAATTTTCTCCATTTAAGTGGCTATTTTGAGGTATCCCCCAGTTTGCGTCAGCGCTTCGATATGTGAAGCTGCGCCATCACATGCCTAGGCCTGGTCTCTGATTGCAGAAATGGTCACATTGTTCGACTGTCGCTAGCAGTGATTGGTGGATCACCAGGGTTGCAGTGGCAGGGAGACCTCATCTGGGGATTCCATTGGGCTAACTAACTATAGCCATAGTGAGATAGGATTACAAAGCATGGACATATGGGGATCTGTGTGGATCAGTTGAAAACTGGGACAATCCCATGGTGAATCCCTTCATATGGGGATTCAATGGATCCGCTTCGGCGAGAACTCGGGCCCCGAGGTGCAAAGTGATTCCTTTCCCGGAGTACTTAACCAACATGATGCAAGTGGGCAATTTGGCTCTGATGCTTTGCTTGCTGATCCTTTGCACCCAGGCACCGCAGCGCGCATGGCGAAAAAATACTCCACAGTCGGTTCATGGAGACGTCGTTCTGCAACAATGAGTATGTCAAATAGGTGTTCATTGTGCAACAGGTGATATAGGTGATCACATGTGATCACATATTAATAGTGAATGATAGTGAATGTGTTGTGTTCAATCAAACAGACTAGTATGTGATTGAAAAAATGTAAAAACCACCACCACCACCAACAACAACAACAACATGTACAACAGAGATGAGTGGTATGACAGTACATGAGTGATATCACCGTGCAGTTTACCATGAACGACTTTGAGGCGAAAGACTGGGCTTACCCTCCAGGAAACAGTCAGTTTGCTACGGAAGTCATGGCCCATTTATAGATTATTTGCCTAATATATCCTAATATATAAATTGGTGATTGTCCAGTTTGCAAACTGTTAGTTTACCAGAGGGTACGGGCTCTTCAGGATCCAATATTCCATTGCATCAACAGCGAGGTTGGACCGGCGCCGTCGTGGCTTTGTTTTGCTGGGGATTTCGCCCCAAGTTACGGTATGTCCCTCGTTATGGTCGGTTTTCTCAATCATACCAATCGATCAGAGTTGGTTTTTGATATATTGGGGGTTCCAGAAATGGGGGTACGCCTTTATCGCTGGATGGTTTATTTCAATTTATTTCATGGAAAATCCCAATCTAAGATGGACAATTCGGGGGTACCACATGGTACCACCATTGTAGGAAACCACCGTATGATGTTCAGTCAGAGCCTATAGCAACTTGAAGCGACATCTCAATGCCAGGTGTTGAAGCCAAAAATCAGAAAAAATGGGGTGCGGGCCCCACTTGGTATGGAATATATTGGAATATCCTCATTTATAAAACGGGATTTAATATTGGGTTACAGTCACATATGGATTATCAAGATTTATAAAGCACATACTAAGTGGGTAGACCTTTCCCATGTTCTACCCATGGCATTCGTTAGTCTTCCTATGGTTTCATGGTAGAATAGATCCCTACAAAGGGGGCCCCAAGTTCGATGGCTCGGTTGGTTCAATTTGGGTGAATGAACTGTGGTTAATGGATATTTATGGTAGATGAAATTATAGTTAATGGATATTTATGGTGGATATGAACTGTGGTTTTTGGTAGATACTTATATGTAGATATGATATAACTATAGTTAGTAGATGTGGTAATGATATACCTATAGTTAATATAGAGATTATAAACCGACCAACATAACTGGGGAGATAACCCACCTTGTAACTCTCCCCGAGATTCAGCTCATTTGGCTAAAACAAAATGTGGAACTGGCAGGGGCTACTCTATGGGACTCTCATTGCAGTAACGCCCAAAAGGAATCTGAAAACAGATCCTTAGTGGCTCACCCCACGAATCCTAAGTAGGTCAAAACCTTGGTTATGGGAGAAGTAGGGTTAATCCACTTATCACTAGGGTGAACTAACCAAAAACGATTCGATCAGCCTCCAAGTAGTCAGGTTTTAATTTAGCACTGATCTTGGCTAAGCATATGGGCCATATGTGGATGGTTTATACCGCCCATTTATGGAAACATTGGGGATGGTGGATCCTATTGATTTACGAACATTACTTCAGAGATGGATTCTACCAACATCTATCTCCTTTCTTGGCATACCTTATGATAGTAATTTCCTCTCAACTGGCCCGTGATTTTTTCGCGTGCTTTCAGGGCCAGCTGTTCACGCAGCACTGTGATGGACAGCCCAACAGCGAAGTCTACTCCACCCTGTCCATGGTTCCTTGGCGCTGGCGATGGGGGTACCTGGGGGAACAGCTGCACTGAAGGTGACACGGCGGGAGAGGGGTGAGTGTTATATCATGATCATCACGTTCCCAATCCCATTGTTCCGAGCCATTTTGAGACGCTCCTGGATAGCAACATCTATATTATATATATAAATGTAGAATATATATATATATAGTATATATATATATATGTAGAATATATATATATATGTAGAATATATATATATATAGTATATATATATATGTAGAATATATATATATATATATATGTAGACTATATATATATATGTAGAATATATATATAGCATATATATGTATATATAATTATATATATATATATACACAGAAATATATAGCTATGAGTCAAAAGCCTCGCACCCATGTTCATAGCCAAATACAGCTGCCAAAAAAAAAGCTGGATGTTCATCATAGTTCATCATGTTCATCCCCCAGTCATATGAGCTATGGTCAATACTCATGGTTAATAACCATTAATAGGGGCTAGTCATCCAATGGTTCAGGATGGGATGTATAATAACCATGGAATTTTTGGATCCTTAAAAAATGGATGGGATGACCATCAACCATATACCCTCTGGTAATTTAACATAGCTATTGAAAGATCCACCATTTTTAATGGGAAAATCCACTATTTCTATGGTCATTTTCAATAGCTACGTTAGTCATTACCAGAGGGTAGTGAGTATTGACCATGGCTCATATGGCAGTTTCCATAGCTTTTGACCCATCCCATGTTGGCCAAGGTTGCGATGTTGCTGTACTGGGCCTTGTTGCTGGATCTGACCATTTTCTCGATGCAGATCTCCGTCGGGATGCTTTATGGAGTGAGGGGAGTGCAGGGATGAGGATGAATCAAGAATGGGGATAGCTTAGGATATTCTTGTATTATATATATATATATATAAGTGTAGTATATTGTAATTAAGATTAGTTCAGTAAAATATCATACATGTATTACTTACTAGTACCAGTTTGCTACACTTCAATTTGCAACAGAATTTCTTCATCGCTCAGTCCAAGGATTGAGCCCTCCGGGAATCATGGTTGGGAAAAAATCATCGAACTGGCTATAGGATTTTCCAGCCACGTTCGATTGGTAAATTTATCCTGCAATTTTACTGGCATGCCATGGAGCTTGACCATGAGGAATAGGATGCGAATTTTCACCCATTCCATTGTTGATTCCGAGCTGGTTCAACAATTGGGTATTTACCATCTGGCAAACAAACATGAGCAGTGTTCAAAAGCTTTGTTGGTTGATGATTAATGATATCAATGATGATACCCTCTGGTAAACTAACATAGCTATGGAAAATCACCATGTTTAATGGGAAAATTAACTATAAATGGCCATTTTCAATAGCTATGTTAAATTACCAGAGGATATCTAATGTATTTTTTCAGATTATGCCAGACTATCATGGATTATCACAATCCATGGGAATCCAATGGTCCAACCAGTCTCATGGAATGACTCACTCGAGGTTTTTTCCACACGAGGCTCACATGGCATTTTTCTGTAAGAAAGGGAGCTTTGAATGAGAAATTCCATGAGATGTTTGATGGTACCCTCTGGTTATGTCAAACATAGCTATTGAAAATGGCCATTTATAGTGAGTTTTCCCATTAAACATTGTGATTTTCAATAGTTATGTTAGTTTACCAGAGGGTAAATAATGGTAAATATTGGTAAATCCAATTTTTCGAGCCACCTGTATGAAAAAAAACGTGGGATGCTGGCGTTCTTTGTTGGTGGCTCGTACATTACTGGATGAATTGTAGCTATGTTTTTAGCCTTGTTGGGATTAGATGGGTTTATCACTTATCCCATGCAACATGAACATGTAAAGCAGGGGAACAACAAATGAACCATGTATATATCCATGATGTCACATGAGGTCCCCATTAAGGTTGGTTTAATCCCGGAATATCAATGTGCAAGGTGGGTCCCCTAGTGTTGTTAGTTTATAAATGTTTATAAAGCCCCCACTTCACTATAGTTGGTTATATCCCCAGCAACTTCGTCAAGCAGTTGTGTTTTTTTGGTTTTTTAAGCAACTTCGTCAACCCTTTTTTTGTAAGAATCCTGCACCAGCGATGGTTGAAATCTGATCGATACTGGGATAAACATACCACCGTTTTCAACTGGTGATTCGGATTTCGCTGGCCCATCCACAGTATCAAACAATGCCAAGTTTTTTAGCACCAACCAACGGTAACCAACGTTTTGCTCAAACTTGGGGCCCTTAAGGCGTTCACTTTGGTCTGCGGCCGTGTTCTCAGCGAGCTGGGCTTGTTCATCGGTTGCTCGTCGAGACGGGCAAGACTAATCAAGAACAGCGGCGAGTGACCGTGGTGAAAAAAGAGGTGTTCCTCGTGGTGAAAAGTGGTTGATAGTGGTTAATAGTGGTTAATAATGGTTAATAGTGGTTAATCTTCAGGATTGATGGCTTGATTGATGGTGATTGATGGTGGTTCATAGTGGTGAATAGTTGGTTAATGGTCAATGATTGTGATGATTGTTGATTGCTGGTGATTAGCTGATTGATGGTGATTGATGATTACACATGGAATCATCTCTGGGTGTCATCAAACATGGCTAGCCGGGAAACACACGAACTAAATGGAGATTTTACACTAGGAAAATCATTGAACGATATGAAGGCATCATCCAGCAAGCCACGTTTGATTGCCGGAGGGTAGTGAAAACATTCAAGAAAAAAAAGGATGGGTTTGAGTTCACACCCCAAGCTGTCAACTCTGCTGCCTTTTTAGATGGGGATGTTCACAAAGGTGTTCACAGAGGTATCATCGCAATGATTTGACTGATACCAATGTAGCTGCCCTGCAAAATTCCCATCTATGCTAACCCCATTTTTGTCAATATAATATATTTATATGTGTGTATGTGGTCATTACTGTACCAACTTCCCAACTGCAATGCACCAGAGTCTCACCTGAGGCTCCTTGATTTTTCTGATCATCACCTTCGCAAGTTCCATCAGCGCTTTGAACCACAACTGTCACTGGGCTGGCGGTTCAACTCTGTTTGCTGGTGACCAATGTGACCAATGGATGCTTTTTCATCGCCGAGGTAGCGATTTCACGAACATTCCGGCTGGAGCCCTCTCATTGATGGATGCTTGGAAGGTTGGGGAAGGTTGGGGTGAGTTGGACGACAGGATTCTCCCATGTTCCTATTGGAAAATGGTCATTGGAAATGGGTGTTATGTTGAATTGACAGTACCCATGACGGATCCATGGTGCTGGTATATATATGCTGACGTAAAGGGGGTATATTGATGGGATCCATGTTACCATATATAGCAGCACCATGGATCCTATGGGGTATGGTAAGCCCAATGCGCATGCCTTTGGAGGACGATGATTACCACCACACTACTTACCTCAGCTGGATGTAAATCGCACAGGAAAACACGCATACCATCCAAGTGCCGCGAGTGCGTGCCCCGTGCCCGACTGGATTCGTTTTTCTATTCGTATGATGTGTTCTTGTTAAAACAAGCTCCAAAGGATTCAAGCTGTTCCAAAAAAATGACTATATGATACTATATGTAGGTGCTAAAACTATCTAAACCTATTATTTGATGGCCGGATGCTGGGGTTTAAATCCACCATGAAGAAATCAATGGTTAAAGCGCCGCGGCCAAAGCGGCTGAGGAAATCTCCTTGGGCATGTTTCCCTCGGAACACTTCCATCAGATCCAAGAAGAGGTGGCAGTTCTGCTGACCGTCAGCTTGTTCATCATCATTGTGATCGCCCCTTGACGAACTTCTGTGCGAATGATGGGAAAATGATGGGAAAATGATGGGCTGAAACATGGGGAACCCACCAAATTTTTGGATGATTACCCGGCCTGGTAAACATACAAAAAGCTATTGAACATGGTGATAGAAATAGTGGATTTTCCCATTAAGAATGGTGATTTCCCATGGTTATGTTAGTTTACCAGAGGGTAACCGGTGAAAAGCATTGGACAGCTGCTTTCTGGTTTCAAACCTGAAGTTTCGATTTTGGTACAATCATTGAACATGTGAATACGATCGCAAGCAACTTTCAATGTGTTTAATTCTCAAATTTCGGTAGGAATGGGTGGTTGAATCGAGCTGTCAGGTGTGTAGGCCCACAACCCTATCCCGTTGTGTTTTAGCCACGGGACCCAGGGTTCGGGTGATGGCTGGATCAACCACCAAAATTGTCGTGTCCTTCCAAAAGACGTTGATAGCATTTATCAGATTTCATCAGATGTTATCCATTTATAGATTTTTTCAGTTTTTTTTAGATTTTATAGATTTACGAGATTTTATGTTGTGCAGATTTTGTGAATCTCAAACTGCTGAGATTTTCCTCTTGAATCTCTTGGTGGCCCAATTGAACGGTGCCTATGGAGCCGTCTATGATGATATGGTGGGCTACGCCCGCCTCACCCGCGGTAGCATCATTGCGACTCGGCTCAACCGCTGGGGGTGGCAATTTGAATAGGTTCAAACTGATTAAACATGTTCGCTGCAAGCCCTAGGTTTGCCCGCGGCCAATCCCGCATATCCTTTGACTTTAAGTTGTTTACTTTCCAAAACAACAAACATCAAAACCCTAAAACCTAAAACTCTAAACCCTGAATTAAAACCCTAAATCCTGAAAACTCAAAGTCAAAAGTCACTGCGTATAGCCAGTGTTTTCATTCATCCTCTGGTGAGAAGTATATCATATTCTTTGGATGTGTTGTTTGAGTGCTGGCGAACCAGGGGGTTGTGGGGAACATGTTTAAACCGGTGGGATTTGTGATTTTTGTTCTGAACACTTCCAGACAAGCCCATGAATGCTCTATCGGCCACCTTGCCTTTGATTCAACCGCTAAGATATGGTGTTTTTGGACCCTTAACTTGGATTACAAGGCTGTGTGCATGTTACAAGTATCAAAAACTGACGGCTGGTTTCATATATATATATATAATTATATATATAATTATATATATAATTATATATATAATCATAAATCATAAATCATAAATCGCATATATATATATACATACATATATGTTCCAAGCTCAGATGATCCCAAGTGACTGACATTTCACTTAAAAATCCCAAGTGCCCAATCTGTGGCTCGATTGATCTTTCCAGTCGCTACACCGGAGGTGTCTGCTTTGGGTGGCATTTCACGCAAGAGATGGGAACGATACCTGGAGACCTTAGGCTTCGAGGAGATCGGCTTCACATACCGACCATGGTGAGGCTTCACCACCAGTTGGGAAAAATAAAAAGGGGCCCTCCAAATATGGTTATAGTTGTAGTTTCTACTTCGGATGATGATTTGAATTGGGATAACTATCCCTATAACCTGCCGTATACTTTGCAGCTTGGTGAATTAATTACAGTACTTCCCCTCCAACTATCCCATAGGATCCATGGTGCTGGAATATTTACCAACATTTGCCCCATAAATGACCCAGTCATGTAGGTAAATATACCAGCACCATGGATCCTATGGGTATGGTGTTCTTATGTGTTCTTCTCTACTTGAAAATTGGAACTGCGCCCCAAAGTAGGGAGAAACCTGCCATTGCCATTCCATCCAGCGGAGCCAGCTACGAATTGAGTTTGGCAACCACATTTTTTTTATTTTACCCATGACGGATCCATGCTGCTGCTATATATGGTAACATTTACCATCAATATCTCAGCTCTCTCAATTGATACATATGTTTGTATGTCAGATATTATATCCCATAGGATCCATGGTGCTGCTATATATGGTGCTCCATGGATCCCATCAACAAAAAGACCCAATCAATGTTAGCATTAATATAGCAGCACCATGGATCCGTCATGGGATAGCTAATGAGTGGCAGTGGTACATAGTGACATAGTGCTACTCGTAGCATTTGCTGCTTGGGTTGGACAATGTGTGTTCTTCCAATCGGATTGGTCATTGGATGACCCACGAAAATCAGTCTTCCTATCGAAAGCTGGTCTTCCTGTTTTCTCCCCTGAGAGTGGGCCACTTTTCCAGAGCTTTGCTAAAATTTGCTAGGAGTTCTTTCCTGCAACATACTCCATTTGATATCTCCTAGTCCTCCATTTGATTTAGATTTGCTGTGCGTTTTGGCCATGTTTCTGCACAAACGTGGGCCAGACATAATAAGGCAGGGCCACGGCGCCGCCACTGCCGATGATTCTGGGATTTCCAGTTGTGTCGGCCTTCAGCTATCAGATAGCTATCAGCACCATCCAAGAGTTTTAAGCCATTTTAAGCATGATTTTGCACAATGTGGGATGGTTGTTTTTGTCCAAAAAGTCTGTACTAACATGATGTTATATTCCATGTTTGATATGTAAACCATCTATAAATGGACCATTTTCCATGGCTATGTTAGTCATAACCAGAGGGTATATGAGTTCCTTCATCCACCATGAATTTTCCTGATACTAAGAGGATCACTCCCAAGAAATCATTTCACTTTTCTAAAGATTGAGGCATTCATAGAATCTGGAAAATATATGAACATATGATATGGAATAAAAACATAATTGAATATAACTATATATATATACATACTTATATCATACTTGGAATAAACACATATATAACTATATATATAACTATATAAGTGGATAATACAAATGCGATAAGCCAAAGAAATATGGCCAGCCCTCTGATCCTGCAGCTCGGTGGTGGTGTGTTTTTTCTTCGGCGTCAGGAGCGCCTGGAGTTCAACGAGGGCGATGTGGGTCTTGCTGGTGGTATTCAGGCAAAATGGGGGAATCCCCATGGATTGGGTTAACCTCCATATATTAATGTTGATAGTAGCAATTAATCATACAATCATCTAATATATATGTATATATATACTGTATATATCTATATATACAATCATTATATAATCATATCTGGTTGGTGGTTTGGAACCATGGAATTTTATGACTTTCCGTTCAGCTGGGAATGTCATCATCCCAACTGACCAATAATTTTTCAGAGGGGTGGCTCAACCACCAACCAATGAATCATGATGAAGATGTGGAGTTGAAACGTGACACTATGAAACATGATGAAGTGATGTGAAGTTGATCAGTGACACTCCGCAAGATGTCGCAAAGAACATCTTATGCATGTGCTTATGCATGTGGTTTAGCTTTAGGGAATATCTACTTGGTGCCTCATCTCACTAAGTAGGTTATATCATTGTTACATCATATATCCCCTGGTTGGTGGTTTGGAACCATGGAATTTTGAATGACTTTCCATTCAGTTGGGAATGGAAAATCATCCCAACTGACCAATAATTTTTCAGAGGGGTGGCGAAAAACCACCAAGCAGTCCCTGTTTTTCCACGGGTTCCACGTAGGGTCCATCCACTAATCCACCAGGGTTTTTTCTGGATGAAATCACGCAGGTCACGGAACCGGCGAATGAGCATCCGACCACTGCGGCTTGGCACAGGGCTGGCCATGTGCACGTGACCCCCAAGTCAAAAGTTATCTAAAGTTGCCATCAACTTCAAAGGGCAAAATATGAAAACATAAAACATACATAAAACATACTATGTCAAAGTTGCTCCACTGTTTTTTTTACCATATACTTGACTTGCTTGACCTATATTGATGATGAAGTTTCCATTGAATCCCCAGCAAAATCCAATCCAAGGTCCCTGCAAAAGTTCCCAACGAAATGTGCAGGAAGTGTTCATTGAGTTAATAAAATGCACATGAAATTCCATGAAGTTTCCTGCAAAAAATCAGCACCATCCCTCCGAAAAACCTTTGATGTTCCCACTGTTTCAGAGAGTTTTGCCATCGACAAACCATGTTTTTCCGTCGTTTTCCATAGTTTCCCCCTGGTTCCCCTGCCATTTTCCCTGGGAACATCCGATCCCGTGGCGGTTTCACGTCACGGCCTCCGAGCGTCCGAAATTTCAGGTCGAGAACATCCGCCGCTTCGGCGGCTCCACGTCGCCGGCCATGCCCTGGCCGGCGGAGGAGCACACGCACGGCGACGGCGCGGAGGATAAGTTGGATCGCCTGGAGAAGATTATCCTGAGAGCCACCAAGATGCTGGGAATGATATGGTGATGTGGGTTTGGGTCAATACCTATTAATACCATTTTTAGTGGGATGAACATCCATAAATCCCAGCTATGACTTGGGGTTCACCAGGGGTACTATTGGTTTTGACACATTCCCATATCTAGTGTGATTTTGATATAGTGATCCTGGGAATGCGAATTGGCCAGCTGGAATGATGGTGATGTTTTGGTGGTGTTTGATGGAACTGATGGTGATTGATAGTAATTTGATGGTGATTGATAGTAATTTGATGGTGATTGATGGTGTTTGATGGTGATTTGATTATAGTGATTTGATGGTTTTGATGACTCTATAGTGATATTTCCTGGACTATAGTGGTGTTTGATGGTGATTGGTGATTTGATGGTGATTTTTATGGTGATTAATAGTGATATTTGCAATAGTGATGTAATAGATCAAATAGTAATAGATCAAATATAGTGATGTTTCATAGATCTATATAATAGTGATAGATCACTGGGTGACTTGGGTGTGATCCAATAGTGATTTATCATTAATGATATAAAATAGCGCTCTAATAGTGATTTATACTGTGTTTCTATAGTGTTGAAGTGTTGAGTGATACCAGTGGCAGAGGGAAGTACACCCAATAAATATCAACAATTTTCACCAAGCTCCATCATTGCATATCATTGGGGATGGTTTATTCGTGATTTACCCTCTGGTAAACGTTTACATAGCTATGGAAAATCACCATTTCTAATGGGTAATTCCACTATTTCTATGGCCATTTTCAATAGCTTTTTGTATGTTTACCAGAGGGCAATAGTGTGTTTCTATAGCGTTGAATCCTGCAAGATTCGCAAGATGTGTTCTTCTTTGTTTTAATGACACACTCGACGTATGTGTTTCTATGATGTTTTTATGTTCTAGCCATGCGTTTCTAAGGTATTTCTATGGATTAACCACTAGATTAGTGCTGGGTGTTTTATTGGTGATTTATATCTAATGTGATAGAAAAAAGCTGGGTGTGGGTGTGGGTGTGAGTGTTTTCTGGATTATATACAGTCATGGATTCACCACTAGGTTTTTTCGTGTGTTTCTAGTGACTTGTTTTTTTTACGGTGATTTGATGATGATAAAAAGAGTGATGTTGTTTTGTGATTTGGTGTTGATTTATGTAGCGATTTACTAGCGTTTTTAAGTGATTTATAGTGATTAGGTTGTGATTTGGTTATGATTTAGAATGATTTAGGAGTGACTTACTATTGTTTTGTAGTGATTTATAATGATTTAACAGTGATTTGATACTGAACCTTGTTTAATATATATATATATAGTTGTATAGTGCTTTATAGGTGTTGAATTGTTGAGTGGTACCAATGGTAGAGTAAAAAAAACATCATAGTGATTTCACAGCGATTTGATTGTGATTTGATTGCGGTTGATAGTGTGTTTCCATCGTGCTCATTAGTCCGATCATGATTTAATAGTGAACTTTAGTAATGAATTTGTATGAAATGAAACCAATTAAGCGTCAAGTTTATGGCGTTGGTTTACCTCATGTTCTCGTAATTCCAGTGTGTTTTGATTTGATCGAAATTTAATAGCTGTTTGTAGATTTTTGTAGTGATCTAGAGTGATTTGTAGTGTTTTAGTACTTATGGTGAATAGTAGCGATTAAGTTAAGTGTGATTATAGTGATACGTAGTTATTTTAATAACGTCAGGATTCTTTATAGGACGTTTTAATATGTTTTAATAGTATCTTGCAGCAGTTTTGGCAGTGGTTTATAGTGATGTAATGAACCAGTATAGTGCTTTGGTCGTAATGTGTAATGTTTTTTTGGTGGTCTATCGGGACTTTATAGCCAGGCTGCAGTGAAAACGCGAAAAAGGGTCCAAACTAACTGTGATTCCAATTTAACATTTTTTTATAGCAACTGATAGTGATTTAAAGGTGAATTGTAAGGATTTATTTTGATTGAAGAGAAATGTTCATGTATGTAGTATTTGTGCAACATTGTTTCCGTATTTGAATAATTCATTATATATCTATAATATATCAATTATAGTACATGCATGGTAGTAGCCTAACAGTAAATTCATAATAATGTGAGTTTAATATAGTTTAATAGGAATTGTTATAGTTTTGTTTGTGTGATAATGAGTGATAGTGACTTGATAGCAAATTACGATGATTTTTTAGTGAATTATAGCATTTTCCATTTGAATTTATATCAAGTCAGTAGTCACTTCAGATGCTGGCTGGTAGTTTTAGCGAGCTTGTGGTAAAACATTTAGTAAAAACTTCATATTTTGTAGTACTAGTGATCCATCCACACCAATCACTGGGGTGAACTAACCCACAAAAACGAAGTGGGTAGTTGGCCACCAAGTCGTGAAGCAACCATGGTAACTGAGGCTATAGATCCACTGAAAATGGGGGATGGTCATTTTTCCCAATGAGTTGGTTAAGGTTTTCCTTACCCTCTGGTAAACATACAAAAAACTATGGAAAATGGCCCATTTATAGATGGTTTACCGAACTTAAAAATGGTGATGTTGTATAGCTATGTTAAATTACCAGAGGGTAATGTTTTTATTTTAAAAGCTAAATACAAAGGATTGTGCCCCCAAGTTTCCTGCCTACGTTGATGCACAGAAAAATAGATTCACTCGGACTTACTGCGTTTTTTTTTTCACGCTTCTATTGATGTTGTTGTTCAACCAAACCATTTATTCATTCAGATGGTTTCAGCAGACCAAGATCTGTAAAGAATTCCCAAAAACCATGGCCGAACAAGATCTGTAAAGAATTCCCCAGCGGCCAATGGCCGATGCCGCGGAAAAGGAAGATGACCAAGAAGAACAAGGCCGGAGGCACCAGCTCTGGCCAGTCACAGTCACAACAATCGGGTTCCAGCGCTCGGCTGGGGGCTCAGTTATCATCCCAGAGTTTGGTTCTGACTGGGAAGACACACAGGCTTTGAGGTAGCCATATTTTAAGGCAAGCGAAACATATCAATGTCTATAAATACTATATTAGTTGTGATGTGACCTGGTGTATACATTTTTTTGTATATTCAGGTTCTTTTATTTAAGAGGTCTTCGATGTTCTGGTGTTTTCTTATGATTGATAGGGCACCACATTTAAGACAAAACCATATAACATCATGCATAGCACAATTGTTTATTTATTTTTGTATAATGAGGATGCGTATTCCATTCTTGCACTTGTGCTATGGATGATTGTATATGGTGAAAGTTGCCATATTGTGGTGCCAATTTCTTCATGATTGGATGATCGGATGCAATATATTTTGAACATACCTCTGGAGCATACCCCAAGTCCCTCCAACACCCAAATAAATGGAATGCGTTCATAAACCATCTTTCAATGGCAGGGTCTGTTGACCCTGGGGTCTGTTGACATTTTCTTAGATGGATACTGTAAAACCTCACCATGTTGTGGTTGCTGAGCCCAGTGGTAAATCCTATAGTCGGTGAGAGTGTGACCATAGTTTGGGGCCCCAAATTTCCACGTTAGTTGGTAGCCGTGCTGTTATGTAAGGTGATGTCAATGTTATGTATATAATGTTTTTGTGGGATGTAAGGTAATGTTTGATTACATATGTGTTTATATATTATATGTACCAATCCATTTATCACATGTTTCCAAGTAGAAAAAATAACTCCCTTACAATCCCATTTCAAACCCCATTTGAATACCACCCGTATGTTTAACGTGGAAGTGGTAAACAAAACCCCTTATTTTTGATTTAGAAGTTGTATACATTCCTGGGGAAAACGGGACCAGCCTGGTCAAACCACAAAAAAATAGTTCGAGCTCCCTACTGGAAGATGTTTACATGGAAGTTGTATTGAAACTTTAATTTTGCAACTGGAAGTCGGTCCCCAGAAATTACCAGAATATATTTGACTACAGAACACTTTAACGTGGAAGCTCGCAAGTCTAGCTCAAGCATCTGAAAATCTAAAAAACACTTCCATGTTGATTTTCATGGTTACCCTATGTTACCCTTGTAAATCGACATAGCTGCCCCGAATCAAATCATGTCCAGTAGATCTGTTAGTTGACTGGAGGGTGAATCCCATCCATGTAGATACTCCATTCTGATTGTACATATCCATTGTCAATATATATATAATTATACATATATATATTTTTTGACAATGGATATGTACAATCATAATGGAGTAATATGTGTATATATATATATATATATAATGTGGATGAATGTGATAATCCCAATGAACAACCATCCTCAAATGGTATATTGCGTTGCCAACATTTTATCTATATCCATCATCCATCATCCATCATCCATCATCCATCATCCATCATCCATCATCATCATCATCATCATCATCACCATCATCACCACCACCATCATCATCAGCAGCAGCAACATCTTTTGGATATATACACTATTACAAAGAAATATGCATAATGTATTATATATATATATTATACCCCACTATATCATGATTGCTTCCACTATATCAACATGAGTATATTTTTCTATATTGTGTCTTTATATATATATATAGCCATTTATTTGTGCATCCCCATAATATCCCCATTCTATTTCCAATGTGTGGAACCAAAAATAACATGCTTTTCGTTACCCATAGGATCCATGTATGCTATATATATGGTAACATGGATCCCATCAATATATCCCCAATGTTAGCATATATGCCATACATGGATCCTATGGGTTATGGTGTCAACTTGAGGTCTGAAGATGACAACGAATCTGACCATTGAGCGACGCCATACCATGGGAGATGTGTGTTTTTGCTTCGAAGACGCGGAGTGCAGCACCATTTTTTTTGAGGGGTTGCCAGCCAAAATGGGTACCCTCTGGTAAACTAACATAATAACTGGAAAATAACTATTTTTAATGGGTAAATCCACTATAAATGGTCATTTTCAATAGCTACGTTAAATTACCAGAGGGTATCTAACCATGAGAACGTCAGAAAGGAGATTTAACCGTGAACAATGAGGGGTCAACCAACCAAAATGGTACAAAACGGGCATATGATTTTAAAAAAACAACGATTATATTGAATTTGGGTACAATGGTTTAGAATAAATGAACAATCATGAATCAATTGACAAAAAGAGAGAACATCGTTTCTCTTCCCATCTAAATTTGTTAAAGCACAATACTTCAAAACCCTTTCGAAGGACCCCAAACTGATAGATTTGGTCCGTTACATTCTACAAGGGGTTTGTTTGGGTGTATTTGTATTGTTCATATCAGGGAACGGATTGGTGGTTCAAATTTTCATTCCAGCAAAATCGACGATTCTTTTGTGGAATCGCATTGATGCCAACCATATACCAGAAATCTTCAAGTACGATATTGCAGAAGCTGTTCCCCTTTGGTAATCAAACACATGGTTTGCTGCAAAGTCTTCAATTCGACAATTTCCCCATTCTTTGGCATATAAATAATTATAAATACAGACGATTTCCCAGCACCGGAGCTAACCAGTGTCTTACGTTGTCCCGTCTTCGTCGTGCGTTTGAAAACCAATCTTCCATTCGTGGGCTCGCTTCGGCTGAGCCGCAGTCTCACTTTCCATATCCCGTTCCTGCTGTGCGGCAGATCAATGGGGAGTGCCCGTTTTTCAGTGCCCAGAAAAAAGGGTTTCGGAGTTTCCTCAAGTCATGGGACCCCAAATCAAGATCCAACAATTGTGCTGTATGGTTTTTACTTGTCGGCAGCTTTGCCTGGCCTTTTCACCTTCAGTGACCACGGAAAAAACAGCACCCCTGACATCGGACGCCGTCGGCAGCCATTGATGCAGCCCAGAACATGAAGCCGCGAGGCCAATGTCCTAAGCCGCTGATCACGAAGGGTTTCACAGAAAAAAAAGAGCTGGCCATCTTGCAATGGGGCTGTGCTTACTGAATAAAGCATGAGCCACTAGTGAGTTGGGTACAGGTTTTTTGGTATTGGTTTCATTTGAGCAGTTTGCAAGGGAAGGGAATACTGCATAGCTAAAGATCAAGCTTTTGCAGGGTATGTCAGATAAGCATAGATAAGCGTGCTTTGCTCACCCATGAAGGTTGCTGAGACAGATGTTTTCGATAAAACCTGAATAGGGAGTTTATTCAGCAGATTTCTCGGTGTGTCAAAGCCACGTATCCATAGTGGAACTACGTAGATTTCTAGATCACTTACGGCAAACCCAATCATTGAAAATCATCTAAAACCCATCATGATCCCCAATTTTACCATGGATTTGGGTTTTATGAACCATTCCGAACTTGGAGGTTTATGTGGGATGGGACCTAGGCGGCGACGCTGGCCCCGTGCAATGGCACTTTGGGCAGCGTCACCTGCACTGCTGGTTCCGGGGCCCGGAGGGCATCCGGGGCCGGGAGGTGGAGGTTTTTGGTTAGTGCGATGATAATCATGGTGAGTATTACCCTCTAGATTAATTTAACAGTTTGCTATAGAAAATTATCATGTTTAATATGTTTAATGGATTTTAATGGGTAAATCAACTATCAATGGCCATTTTCAATAGCTATCAACTATCAATGGCCATGTTCAATAGCTACGTTAAATTACCAGAGGGTATTAACCATAATCCAAACCTTCAGAAATAGGACAGCAGTTAACTTTGGGGAAACCATGTTCAACCATGTTCAACCATGTTCAACCATGATTAAAGTGATGGTAAAATGGCGATTGGTATACGGGGTATACGGTATACAAAACCAACGTTTATTTGGTTGCCCAAACATGTAGAATATACCCTCTGGTAAACTAACATAACTATGGAAAATCACCATTTTTTGGGGGGAAAATCCACTATAAATGGCCATTGTTCAATAGCTATGTTAAATTACCAAACATGTAGAATATACGCCCCAGATTGAGATGGAGGGTTCCTAAACTGCGTCCCTTAAAATCATCCCAGAACTGGTATCAACTGGTGATGGGGTTCCAGCGCTGCTCAGCAGGGTGCCTATCTTAGGAGATGGCGGCAAGCCCCAAAGATATGGACTATCATAATAAGATACCCAAGATATTATGCATAAACTTAAGGGATATACGGATATACCCAAACAAAAAAAGGACTTTATCCCCAAATTCTATGAGTTTTCCCAAAAACCTGTACCAGTTTTTTTCGGAAATCAGGAGACTCAACCGGTCCCACATGACTGACACCTTTGATGTTCTAGAGTCGATGATCAGCATCCGACATTCTCCGACGAATTGAATCGCGGAAGGCACAGCCTCCAGTCATTGATCCACAGTCAAAATGGTGATCCTTTCTATTTACGATATTTACCAGGTTGGTAATGGTAACCTAATTAATGGTTAATGGTGAATAGTTCTAGGACTTGTAGTGATTATAGTAATGCTTATAGTTCTGGTTGGTGGTTTCAAACATGTTTTATTTTCCATAATATATGGGATGTCATCCTTCTCATTGACGAACTCATATTTTTCAGAGGGGTAGGTCAACCACCAACCAGTTACGGTAGTTCCTGTCTTGATGAAAAATGATTGACCCAAAAAAGCAGCTTTTTTTCCGCTGAAAAAGAGAAGTGAATACATGTTCAATCCTTTTATGGAAGGACTGACTGCCCGAATTGACACATATTCTTGGGATGTGTTGGGATGTGTTGGGATGTGTTGGGATGTGTTGGGATGTGGGGGCTGTCAACTAGAAATATAACATGGATCAAAATTTGTCACAAGCAAAATCGCATCAAAAAAGTGTGGTCCAATAGTAGACCCCCCGTTGGATTCAGCAGTGTCTATCTCTGGCAAAATTGGGCATGACAAGGACCATAAAAAGGTCCTACAAAGTGGGGCCCCCAAACGATAGCTAAGTTGGTGAACATAACTCCAATAACTATGGTTTAAGGTACCTATAACTATAGTATTCATGGGGTTTATAAACCATCTTATAACTGGGGGGGCCCACATTGTATGGGTCCAACATATTGACCGTCGCACTTCGGCCTGGGTCAAAACATTGGCACTCTGGCGAACAACCCGGTGTTTGAACAAAAAATGGTCCGGATGACAATCGCATCCCCAGATGTTGCTTACATATCCTACAGCCAACATATACCAAGAAATTCTGATCCAGTCACTCTGGACATATCTGGACATATCTGGACATATCTGGACATATCTGGACATATCTGGACATTGAACATGGTTTGCCCAGTCATTTAGAATGGACAATCACTGACAAATAACCCATTTTGCAGATCACTCTCCCATAGAACATCGTCGATGTTGTCAAAGATATGGAGCTTCTGGTGATGGATCATCATTACAGTGCTCCCACGGATCGTAAGTGGCTTATAACCCCAGTTGTAGGAGGGGATGAGCCACCACGTCTCAGTTTAATTTGTCCATTAATGTGAGTAAAACAATGTCATAAACCATCCCCCAGCCATCACCATTTTTATAGCGGGTATAAACCATTCCCAAGTTTGGGTGGTTTATGACATTGTTTTTACCCACATTACCAGCCATCTTGAAATTACAAATGCCTTCCTTCCTTCGCAATTCTGAGGCATCTGCACGCGCGGCTGCCGCAGGTGGCACTGGGCAGGCTGGACGAGGGTACAGAGGTGGCATGATTGGGGCTTTAACATGCTTTAACCATCACCATTTTTGTTGAAGGATAACAAAAATATGGAGGTTTCCTAAAATGGAGTTACCCCAAAATGGATGGTTTATAATGGAAAATCCTATTAAGATAGATGAATTGGGAATACCCTCATTTTAGGAAACCTCCACATGATGAAACATTGGGTTGAAACGGTAGAATCGGCGGTAGAATCGGACGGACAACCAAGAGAAATCCCCATCAATTGACACTTACAAATGATATCCTCTGGTAAACAAACTTGAAAATGGCCATTGATAGTTGATTTACCCATTAAACATGATGATTTTCTATAGCTATGTTAAATTACCAGAGGGTATGTTTCCAAATGGCTGGGTGGCATTTTCTTTTGATCTACCCCTAAAATTTCACGGATGAGTTACACCGTTGACTGCTGAAGTCTCACGAAGCCATGCCCAGCCGATAGAAAAACCGATGCGCCTCCTGTGGCCATCAATGAAGTTGACTCGCAATGTTCGTAAAGCGTTTGACCACACCAACCATAGTTTGTTTGATGGTTTATACAAGTCATGTATGATAGAATTGGGGATGGTTTACTAAGTATACTATCGCTTTACTGACACGCTTCTTATACTTTCTGACTCATAGCCCTTTTTGTGTTCCCATGTGGTTTCCTGCTCCAAATTGTAGATCAGCAACTACGCGATGATATCAAAGGATAAACCATGCCCCATTTGACCAATCATCCCATTTGGCAGGTAGTAAACAGAACAGATATGTTTGTTTTCTTCAGAAAACCACACACATCTATACTTAAACGAACAATTTTAATATAAAGTAGACAGTTGACTTTTGCCCCAAGCAAAACAACGATGACTCATGGGGCAGGGAGTTTGAACCATGAAAATTGGGCCTTCTGAGGCCGATTTCTTGAAGGTTCTTCGTCGCAAGCGTGCGAGCCTTGAAGAGGTCCAGTGATGTCACCAGTGATGGGCGGATCTCGCCGATGAATGACCCATGGCTTTTACCATGAAATGTCTCCGGGGGGGTCGTAGTATGTCGTATTTCTATGTTCCCTGAAAGCATCAAACAAACATATTGTGGGATTCATGGAGATGTTGCTTTAGATTGAAGAATCTGGGAGGAAACCATCCATGCAAAATGTTTGCCAAGTAAGGCATCCGCCTGCTGGATCCTTTTTTCAGAAGTTGTCACGTCGACGGTTGTCATTTTGATCTCCTGAAGCTCGATATCCAAGAAGTACTGACCAGGTGAGTCATGAAGTGCGCTCCCAAAAGTTTGGGAAATTTGAAATGGTCCTTGTGGCCCCTGGACTGGACAAAGAATTGGGAAAGGTTTATTTGGAATGACATTCGGAAGGAGGCCAAGGTTTTGTCGACCATCAGGGATCCATCAATCTTCCCTAGGTCCTATTGTGCCCATATCTTCTTGTTGTTAAAGATCCAAGAATGACATTCTTATTCCTGTATAGGTTTATTTTCTGCTTTAGATGCAATGGGGTATGTTCTTGTTTGTTCCTTGATCCCTTTCCTCCAGCACTCAAGTACCCCCTGGAAAACCAGCTGACGTTACAGAAATGTCAAGTCTCCTTGCATGCAACCACTTTGTCCGTGTTTGTTCCTTCCTAATAAACCCGATCAATATCCATAGATAACCGTAAATATCCAAAAATAGTTAAGTAAACCTAGAATATCTATGAATATCTATAAACTATAAAAATCTATAAGTATCATAATTCCATACATATCCATAAGCATAGAATACCGTGATTGTCCCTTAAAATCCCCAATTTTTTCCAAGACCTGAAATGCCATTCTCCACGCCACAGCAGGCAACGTCAGCAGCCGAAGGGTTGCGGGCTGCAGGCCATTTGAGCCACTTGGGCCACAGATTTCGGTCCGCTTTTTTTTTCGAAACATTGGGATTTCACCATTGGGATTTCACCATGAAATTCACCAGAAAGAAAAATAGATTAATGTTGATTGAATCAGATGAAGACCATCCATTGTTTATGATTTCAGCCAGAAAATTGGGGGATGTAACATGATTTAACCATCAATCATTGGGTTTCTTAGTGGGTTCAGAGGTCCTCGTAGCCTTGGGATGGTAACCAGTAACCATCCAATTTTGTTTAGAGGTACAACAACCCATACCTAAACCATCTAATTCCCTTAAAAATTGTGTTTTACATCACAATCTTGGTATTTTTACCATTTTGGATGGTATGTGGAGGGTCTAGATATTGGTATGTGACATGGGCTCACCATTCAAAAAAGGGTCGGAAAAAGGGAACCAAGAAACATGCGTACAAAATAGTGTGATTTCCAGATGGACATGTTTAACGGTGATACCATCGATACCGGGTCTTTCGGCGCAGCCATGCGCAGCCTACATTGTCTCTTTGACTCCACCTGAAAATCGCGCAATTGTTGGATGGAACATGGATTGGATTCCGTAGCACATGGTTTTGGGGTTTCCTGTTTTCAGAGAAACCTAGATGTAGTACAGTATTGAAGGATTCTGGGACGTTTGATCATATAGTTGCACTGAATTGCTGCATTTTTCACGGCAGTGACAGATTATGTGTGCATGGCTCAAAGGATTTCCGCCAAGCATAGTGTCATGTCATGTCCTCAAGACTGCCAAGAATGATGCAAATTGTAGGTCTATTAACTCTATTGCTAGCCTAATTGTGGTCTCCATATCCAAATATCCTCATGGTTTGATTGCTAAATCCCATTAAATCCCCCCATTTTTTTCAGTTACCCTCCAGTCGTCGAGCATGGCAATGGACAATCCCCCATGTATAGTTGACTTCCTCATGAAAACCTCCAAGGATCAAGGGGACATTGCCATGTTTGATTTCCGGGAAAATGCACTAATACTCATAACAGTAACATCTAATAACCATGAATCACCATTATCAACCATTAAATCCGAATTGTTGTCGGTGTTAAAATCACCAAAAAAAATCTTCATGTTTTTCTGGCAAGTGCTGTTGGTTCAGCAGTTCAGCACATGGATGGGGCCGCCCCAATTCCTTCGCAGCCTTAGGTGGCGTTCGTGGCTACTCCTCAGCCATAGTGGCCTCTAGCCGAGGTCAGGGTGGCTTCCACTGGCCACCTGTGGCCACCTGGCCATTGCTTAATAAATGCTGTTTTAATACGGGCAAAGATGGGGCTGACCCATTTATACATGGCTTTTTTTTTGGTTTGATGTGGGGGTATCAATCATGGCGTTTTGATATTAGGTTTCATCTGGGGTGATGAAGCAGTCATTTAACCATGCCTTTGTGGGTCCAGGATGGTTATATACTATTCTCGACAGATACCCGGCTGTATCCTTGAAAGCATGTGCATGGAATGCTGCATACATCATGAAAACACTGAACATCCCTCTTAGCATCTCGATTCACGAATCATCATAGTTCATTCATAATATTCATAGTGCAATCTTAAACATTGGAATGGATCTTAAAACCTATGATGCAAAAAAAATGGGGCAGATAGAAACACCCATGATGTACCCTCTGGTTATTTAACATAGCCATGGAAAATGGCCCATAGAAATAGATGGTTTACCGAACTTAAAAATGGGTGGATCTTTCCATGGCAAACTGTTAGTCATAACCAGATGGTATATGGTATAATATGGAGATATCCACCTTAAATTTTGAATATGGAGATATCCACCTTAATAATATGGAGATAACCTTTTAAATAACCAGAGGGTACCAGATTTTGAATTTTTCACCCGAGTTCACCAGGCTTTTGACCCATCCGTTCCGCGCATATGTGAACCGCTCGGAGGTCGAAAATGGTCCGTGGCCGTGGAACTCTTCGAGGAAATGCTGGAGTTTGGAGAGCCAAGGGATCCAGCCGAGGGATCCTGGGATCTGGGCTGGATTTAAAATGAGTAAAATATGATGAGCCATTGAGATTTATGATATGTTTATTTATATTTTATTTATTTATTTATTTATTTATTTATTTATATGTATATGTATATGTATATTTATTGATAATCAATTTAGGACATTCTTGATTTTAGTGAGTCACTCAGGTCCCAAGACATGCTTTGACTCACCCTGATCTGATCTAGAACTGGAGCGCCTCGTTGATTTCATATGATCTCCCTTCGAGAAAGGTTTGAGAACATGGCTATACATGGCTGGTTGGTGATTTGAAACATGTTCTGAAAACCATCCCCAATTTCAATGATATGGTCCAAATGGGCAAAACCGGCAAAACCGTCGATTCATCTGATTCAAATTGGCAGATCATGGCAAATAATTCGATGACTTTTTGAATTGCTGTGTTCACTGTGTTCTGCAAAATCCTCTGTTGGTCATGGCCATGGTTGTTTTTGACTCATCAGACGTTTTGAGGACAGCACTCTAGCGTAGTTTCGCGAACTTGTGTCGGATGTTTTTGTTGGAGAAGCTTGCTGTTCCTGAAAAAACATCTGGTTTGATGTTTGATATATTTTATATATATATATATTTGATATATATATATATATTTGATATATATTTGATATATATATATATATATGTTTTTTTAGATCATATCAACCTATCTTTTTTTATAGATGACATATCAACCACGATCACCGTAGTATCACCAGGATGACCATGGTGGTTTATGGCAGTTTTTTAACCACATGACATTAGGTGGTTTTAATATGGTTTAATAACATCGTGTTTGATTTCAAAGATGTGACTGTGATGACGTTTTGATGATCAGTGATAATATATTTCAGGCGGTGTTGAAACCCAGTAATCAGTTAGTGACCAATCCTTCCAACTAACACAGACTTAGACCTTAGAGATCATCCCTATTTTTTGTGGGAAATCATTCATGTTTTACTCGTGTTCTTATTCCCCCCGATGGAAGACCGATTGGATAACTATCGGCGATTTGGAAACTACGATTTGGAAACTACGATTTGGGAACTACGGTTGGGTAATTAACAATCTCTGCTTCAGTAACTACGTTTCCCCGATTTGGAAACTATGATTTCGAAACTACAAATCCCCGATTTGGAAACCAAATCTCCGCGATTTGATAACTAAGAATCTCCGATTTGATAACTATGTTTTGGAAACTGAGATTCCCCGATTTGGTAACTACCGTTCTCCGATTTGGTAACTACAATTCTCAGATGCTTGGTAACTAAAACTCTCCGACTTGGCAACTAATTGAGGAAACCAGACCTGACCGATTCGGCAAAGAGTTTGGAATCGCCTCGAGCAACTATCCTTATTTGAATATCACGACTTCTTGAGCAAGAGTATGCCTCAACCTCACAGCTTCACCTCTCCAAGACTTCTTGTCACGATTCCAAGTCATATTCTAAACCTTCCCCCCTCAAAACCCTACATGCAAGAGTATTTATTCCTCAACTTCACGGCCTCCCCTCTCCCAGACTTCTTGTTAGATTCTAAGTCCTTTCCTAAACCTCCCCCCCAAAACCATACATGCAAGAGTATGCCTCAACTTCACAGACTCCCCCCTTCAAGAGTTCTTGTCACGATTCCAAGTCATTTTTTTAACTTCCCCCCCCAAAACTTTACATGCAAGAGTATGCCTCAACTTCAAAGCCTCCCCTCTCCACGACTTCTTGTGTTAGAATCCAAGTCATTTTCTAAACCTCCCCCCCCAAGACCCTACATGCAAGAGTATTCCTCAACTTCACAGCTTCACCTCTCCAAGAGTTCTTGTCACGAGTCCAAGTCATTTTTTAAACCTTCCCCCCCCAAGACCCTACATGCAAGAGTATTCCTCAACTTCACAGCCTCCCCTATCCAAGACTTCTTGTCACGATTCCAAGTCATTGTCTAAACCTCCCCCCCCCAAAACCCTACATGCAAGAGTATTCCTCAACTTCACAGCCTCCCCTATCCAAGACTTCTTGTCACGATTCCAAGTCATTTTCTAAACCTCCCCCCCAAAACCCTACATGCAAGAGTATGCCTCAACTTCACGGCTTCACCTCTCCAAGACTTCTTGTCACCATTCCAAGGCATGTTTTAAACCTCCCCCTTCCAAAACCCTACATGCAAGAGTATGCCTCAACTTCACAGACTCCCCCCTTCAAGAGTTCTTGTCACGATTCCAAGTCATTTTTTTAACTTCCCCTACCCCCAAAACTTTACATGCAAGAGTATGCCTCAACTTCAAAGCCTCCCCTCTCCACGACTTCTTGTGTTAGAATCCAAGTCATTTTCTAAACCTCCCCCCCCAAAACCTTACATGCAAGAGTATGCATCAACTTCACAGCTTCACCTCTCCAAGAGTTCTTGTCACGATTCCAAGTCATTTTTTAAACCTCCCCCCCAAAACCTTTCATGCAAGAATATTTTCTGTTTCTTTAAAGTTTCACTGGGGTGGGGGCAGTCGCCGCACACTTTGGCTTTCCTTGTTCACATTCAGCGCTGGTGTCAAAATGAATCACGACGTTGCGCAAGTGAAATGTCGTGGTCGACTGATTCACACCTGAGCTCCCTGATGTTTGCCGTTTTTGCCCAGGATTTTGCTTTTAATCATGAACACCTCACGGCAAGTATCCCAGTCCAAAGGAAAAAAAACACGCGGATAGCTGTGGATTCATTCGAGACTATCGTTTCCATCGAATACGTTCGATTTGGTTGCCCACATAGACATTTCATTTTGCAGATAACATGGTTACCGAATAACTGTTTTTGGTTACTGAATCAATGTTTCATAGTTTCTAAATAACACGTTATAGTTACCAAAGAGTATGGTTTCCAAATAAGACGTCTTAGTTACCAAATCAGAGTTCGTAGTTATCAAACCACATGGTTACTAAATAATACCTTTTAGTTACCGAATCTGCGTTTCATTGTTTCCAAATATCACGTTTTAGTTACCAAATAACATGGTTACCCAATAACACGTCTTGGTTACCGAATCAAATGTTTTAGTTACTCAATAAAACGTTTTGGTTATCCAATAAAACGTTTTAGTTACCCAATAAACCCGTGACCAATTCCCCCCTTTCTGATTCAATAATATCCTGTTTGATAATCACTCTCTCCATTATTTCAATGGCGAGAAGAAAATCATTGTTATTGTTTGGCTTACAATGATCATGTATTGTGTTGGTTACCGTTGGTTGTTTTTTCCAAAAACATAACCAATAACACATGATTAGTCTTCAAAACCCTGGTTGGTTGATGATGAGTTCGGGAATCATAGACTATGATACTTACCCAATATTATATGATATATTATATGTTTGTTTATGTTTGTTGTTGTTTTTTTCAGAATCCAATAGGGGAATCCCGTTCTTAACCAACCAGATCTCAGAAAATTCTGGGCGCATCTGGGCCCGAGGCGCGGCTTGAGACCCACGGCGTCCGCCTTCACTGCCTTGCGAGAAGCTTGTGAGGAAGGCGCGACGTACGGTGCCCGTGGTGCCCGGTGGATCCTGCCGTTGCGATGCGGGAACGTTGGTTTATAATGCCCATGAAATACGTACAGGATGGTGCCCCCCAGTGATGTTAGTTGGTTTATAAACCCCATTAACTATAGTTATATCTGCCATAAACCATAGTTATGGGACTTATAAACCAACTTAGCTAACTATGGGGCACCACCTTGTATAGACATACACATAGGATCCATGTATGCTATATATGGTGTGCCATGGATCCCATCAATATACCCCCCAATGTTAGCATATATACACCAGCACCATGGATCCGTCATGGGATATATAGATATGATATCTCTACCATAGTTGCCATAGTTATGCCATAGTTTACTGAGTTATAAAATGGTATAGTTAGCAACTTAGCTCTGGGGCACCATCTTCTTGGGATCTGGAACTTGTTTATTTGATCTCCATTGGATTTGGGACTCATCCCCGGCCACATCAGTTTGGGATGAACATCGATGAACCCCCAAAACGATGCCCTTCACAGATCCCAAGCCGTGTGCAACCAGCATGTTAGTTCGATCCTTTTTACCTTTTGCATATTTCCAGGTCTCCCACTTAACAAGGCATCTTGTTGTGGGTTGATAACCCCCTGGTAAATTGACTTGTTGACCCTGAAAACCACCCCCATTCTTAGTGGAAACTAATCTTCCAACCCTATCTGCCAGGGTCTATGTTAATATACCAGAGGGTAATACTATTGTTTTTGATTTCTGGTGACATAGGAGGTGCATCAGATCCTCGTCAAATCGGTCAGGACAGAATCCCTGGCATCAGATCACGACGAAAGGGGACCACCTCCAAGGGAGTAAAGTCACCATTTTTGGATCCCAAAAATGAAAGAGTTGGGTTGATAAAATCTTGAAACCAACCAAATTCTTAAGTCAAACTACCATGTTCTGGCTCAAACCAACCAAATTTTTCGGGTTAAAGAGGGGTTCCCAATAACCTCCGGTCATTTAACAGTGTGCTATTGAAAATGGTGGCCATATAGTCCGATGATTTACCTATCAGAAATTGTGATGTTCCATAGTTATGCTAGTTTACTATGCAGAATCACCATTTTGAATATGTAAATCACCATAAATCAATATCAATAGTCTATAAATTGCAATTTTCAATAGCAAAAGTCTTTTAAAAACTGCAGGGTATTGGGAATATAATCCATAAAAATCCCAAGAAAATCCCTTTAAATCTCATGAAAATCCCATTAAATCCCATGAAGTCTCATTAAAAACACTAACTGGTTGGTGGTTTGGAACATGATTCTTCTTTTTTATATTGGGAATTTCATAATCCCAACTGACTAACTCATATTTTTTAGAGGGGTAGGTCAACCACCAACTGGCGCTACAGTGAGCCATTAAATCCCATGAAGTCTCAACAAAAAAGTGATTTTCTTGGAATTTTGTGGATTACCCTCTGGTAAACTAACATAGCTATTGAAAATGGCCATAGAAATAGTGGATTTACCCATTAATAGCATGGTGGATCTTTCCAGTTCGTTACGTAAACGTTTACTTTGTGGATTATCCCAGGAAATCCCATTACTTGTAGATTAACCATAGATTATCCATAGATTAACCATAGAAATCCCATTACAAACCCACTAAAGTGAGCTATTCCTCCAACACGCGCCGTAGGCGGGCAAGCGGCCTTGGCCGCTCGCGTCCTGGCAGCACAGGGCGCCGAGGCGCCGGCTTCGGCGAAGCCGGCGCCGGCTTCAAAGCGGGCGCAGGCGCGGCAGGTCACGTGATTTTTGAGGTGATGGAGTACGGATGATCATTATACCATCTAGTTATTTAACATAGCCATGGTATAGATGGCCCATTTATAGAGGTTTACCTATTAAACATGGTGATTTTCCATGGCTATGTTCAATAACCAGAGGGTATAATTTCTATAATCTATATTTAGTATAGTATTTATAGTGTTGCACTTCTTAATAAACTGCTAGTGCTAAAGTTACCCGGCCTGGTAAACGTTTACATAACGAACTGGAAAGATCCACCATTTGTTAATGGGAAAATCAACCATAAATGAGGCATAGCAAACTGTTAAATTACCAGAGGGTGAGATGATTTATAAGGTGTTTTGAGATGATTCAAGATTATTTAAGATAATTTAATGATTGTTTAAGATGATTGAGCATGAATTAGCATGTTTTAGTATGATTTAGCATGATGTAACATGAGAGAGCATGATTTAACCATAAAAAACTTAATTTGATCATGTTTAATTCAAGATGTTTCAAGATAATTAATGAAGCAAAAGGATATAAGGGTACATATTTGATGGCTACTGTAGGGCATTTGGGGACCGTCGATGCAACTGTAATTTACAGCCCCAACGACATGTCAGCAGATTTAGTCAGCAGATGTCAGCAGTTAGCTGGGCATATAGCTAACCCATTTTATATAGAACCATGAGTAATCCACTTAAAGACTTCCTAACTAGGGTTACTGACCACTTACTACATGGGATGAAAAAACATGTTTCTTAGATCCGCCAAACGGCACGTGAGGCATCACCAAGCACCTCGCAAGTGCTCTATTCTAAGGCTCAGCCAGGGCAGGTTCCGAACTGTTTCATGGATTCAGGCCAACAAGCGCGGGACTTTGTGCAACAACATTGGTTACAAGGTGGTGCCCCTTAGCTAGCTGAGTGGGTTTATAACAGTTCAAAACTAGGTTAACTATGGTTTATGGTAGCTTCTGTTTTTCCTATGTTTCATATTTTTTTTCATGCTTGTTATTTTCAATCAGCTGTGGTGTGCATACTTTTTTTGTGTGCCTACTAGTCTAGAGGCCACAAGTGACTAGTAGAGTCTTATCAACAATCATCACTGTGGCCTCACTGGGGGGTGACCATCATTGTAATCCCTTCCCCCGTTCATATTAAACACCCCCCTTAAAAACCATGGTGGATGAAACTCCACATTCCATAACGGGACCATAGAAATGGGGTGTTTACCCTCTGGTGATGTCAAAATAGCTATTGAAAATGGCCATTTATAGTGAGTTTTCCCATTAAAAATGGTGATTTTCCATAGCTATGTTAGTTTACCAGAGGGTAATATGAACGGGTGATGGGATGATTATCATCTCGCAGTTGGGTTGGCTGTGCGCAGCGAGCTCAGGGTGCCCTTTGCACACGGCTTCGAGAGAAAGATGCATCCCCTGAGAGGCCGACCGTGTAATCCCCAACCTTGGATAGCGCTGGTTGGTGGTGACTGCAACCATGGAATTTTATGACTTTCCACTTGAATTGCCCATGGCGGATCCTAACGGTGCTGCTATATTAATGCTAACATTGATTGGGGGTTTTTGTTGATGGGATCCATGGAGCACCATATATAGCAGCACTTAAATGGATCCGTCATGGGTTGGGAATTTCATGATCCCAACTGACGATTCGTCATATTTTTCAAGATGGTTACCAGCCAGCTTGGATAGCAATCATGGATAGCTAGTTGAATCCTCTGGGGTTTTTCGCTAGAAATATATGGAAAATCATCAGATCAACAAAAGATGACCATTTTTTGTTGACCATGACTTTTTTTGGTGATTGAGATTGAAGCTTTCTCCAGGTTGGGTCCAGGGCATTGATCCATACCAAGACTCGAAAAAGAGACGCCTGTTCGCTATCCAATGCTATCCAGATATAGGGCGAAAATGCAGTACTAATGATGTCCCATTCACATGCTAGCTATGAAAAAACTATCCAAAAAAAACGCTGTGAAATTGGTGACATGCGGCGAATACAGCCTTTTTTCTGATGAAATTCACTTGTTTCGCAGCCATATCCACATGTTTTGCAAACATCCCATTATATATTATATAATTTTATATATCTGGTTGGTGGTTTCAAATATTGTTTTTATTTTCCATAATATATGGGATAATCCTTCCCATTGACTTTCATATTTTTCAAGATGGTTAAAACCGCCAACTAGATATACGAGTATCAAAAAAATCCATAGTGATCCTATCAATGGCCATTTCAGGAACCGATTTATTGGAGGTACCTACCATATACAAGGCCTATATAAGGGGATATACCCCCAAAATATGGCCTTATATGGTACAGTACAGTACCTCCATGTATTGGATCCTGGAGATCTCCCATTGATCCTATGTTATCCTACACCCAAGTACCCTCTGGTAAACTAACATAGCTATTGAAAATGGCCATAGAAATAGTGGATTTACCCATTAATAGCATGGTGATTTTCCATAGCTATGTAAACGTTTACCAGAGGGTATCTCTTGATAGTCTCTTAAGGCACGTCACAACGGATTTTCGTTGTGCCAGGCTTTCGGAAGCGACAGAGCTGTTGCGCTCTGGGGGCCACTTTGAGGCCGCAGGGTCAACGGGGATTAGAAGCACCAAGAATTATGCGGATTTCATGGGAACTGGTGACAAAGTTTACCCTCTGGTCAAAATAGCTATTGAAAATGGCCATTTATAGTGAGTTTTCCCATGAAAAATTGTGATTTTCCATAGTTATGTTAGTTTACCAGAGGGTAATGGAGTTTCATGGGATATGGGATAACTGGTGGGATATAATGGGATATAATATGATATAACTAACATTTTTAAACATCACCACCAAGAATTTAATGGAGTTTCATGGGATATAATGGGATATAACTAACCAACCTATTGGGTAATCAAACGTGGCAATGGGAAGTCCCCTAACAATGGAGGTTTATAGCTGGGAAAATCATCGAGGTAAATGACGGCTTTTCCGGCAACCCACGTTTGATTTCCGGAGGGTAGTCTGTTTTTAAAAAGTGGATGGCAATTTGGCAATAGTGTTAGAAACATATTTGAAATATCACTTTTATTTAATGAACCAATGCAATGTTCGATTTAGTTGTTCAAAAATATAATACATGCATGTATGTATTGGATTATTGGATTGATTTGGATTGACCACAATTAATCTATAAAATGGGCAATTAATCAATATACTACCCAATATATGAGTAATTCCTTGTGGTTGAATACAACCCTAGTGTAATGTAGTAAACTCAACAAGAACTCACATTTCGAAGCTTCATGTAAAGAAAAAGCACAATGGTAAAAGTAGGATAAGTATGCGAACCATCTGGATTTACGTTGCGGGTCAAAATTGAAAGCAGTTTTCGAACCAGGAATTGTGTTCACCGACAGTGTATCTTCAGGTCTTGGTCCAAAATGAATGTTTGATCCCAACTCATATTATATCCCATAGGATCCATGTATGCTACATATGGTAACATGGATCCCATCAATATACCCCCTTTATGTTAGCATATATATACCAGCACCATGGATCCTATGGGTATGATCCCTGAAAAAAAAAACTTAGCAACGCAAACACTGCCTTCCACTCTGTGATCTGGCCAGATATTAGCACCCATTGATACAGTCACCTGGCCGATGGGTTCCGTTATACAGAGGATCCACAGATTTAAGCCCAATCTGCGAAGGGTTGCCCCAGAAACCGCGAACACGTTGGGGTTCACTCAAACCAGGTGAATCTTTATGGATGTTTATCGTAGATATATTATAACATATTGTATTCAACTAGTGTATTTATGTGTATATGTGTATATATATATATACATATCCAACTAGTGTTGTGTTTGTTGGGGTTTATATACCAACAAACATCACGTTTCGGGGCACCGACGTCTGCGTTGCGTTAGGAGACTCTCAGCTACACCACAGCGCTGCGGAATTGTCTGAGACTCGAAGATCTCGTGGGAAAATCCATAGCCAATCTGATAACTTTGGCAGAAAATGAAGCCCTTTTACCCTCTGTTAAACTAACGTAACTATGGAACATCACCATTTTTAATGGGAAAATCCACTATAAATCACCATTTTCAATAGCTATGTTAGTTTACCAGAGGGTAACTTTCATCCACTTGGAGCAATGACAAAAAAATACTACAGACTATTGCCAGTACGTACTCAGCAATGTAACCGTAAAGTTTCCCGCATTGCTGCGTGTCAAGTCTCGAATTCGATGGAATTCTGAATCGTTGTCCCTCTGTGAGGATTCTCAAATCAGATGATTTTTCAAGTTAGGAGGAAGTATATATCTATATCTATGTATATATCGTTTCAGATATTCGTTTTTTTTCTTTAACCATAGTTTTTTTTTACCATACCCATAGGATCCATGGTGCTGCTATATATGGTAACATGGATCCCATCAATAAATCCCCTTTATGTTAGCATATATACCAGCACCATGGATCCTATGGGTATGATCCCTGAAAAAAAATGATTATCTATGTATATATTGTTTCAGATATTCGGTTTATTTGTTTAACCATAGTTTTTTTAACCATAGTTTATTCATTATTCAAAGATGTTTTTTTGAGAGTCCATGGTCCTCCAACATCCATGAGGTGAACACGGGCATCACTGGGACTTGGTGGGCAGCCTCAGTGATTTCCCCTGAGAAAACTCAGGTGACGTATGACGGAAATCGGAACAAAAAAAACCATGGATACCAAGGGAAACTAGTAAGTAATGTAACTAGACTTTTTATGTTCCAGATGTCTAAGTTCCGAAGTGTCCTGGTTTTTTTGACTGGCGAAATGAAGTCCTAATTCCAAGTCGTTGATCTCTCAATATTAAACATATTAAACTGCTATCCAGTTGATGAAAACTCCATGTTAAATCCCATGAAATCTGCATGGTTTCACGATGTTTCACGTGGGCCGTGAGGCTCTGAGCTTGCTGGGCGAGATGCGTGAGCGAACGGTGCGCGAACTGGGCAGGGCGGCTGGGTTTTGTGAAATGATTTGCCCAGAAAGATGGCAAAATGGTTAGTGTTTTGGCAGTAGTATAGGATAAGTATGGATAAATATGAATAAGTTGCGAAACTCTATATTGTTGTTTTTTTGTTGGTTTGCTTGTCTATTGAATTTTAAGTCTTTAAGGCTTGTTGTCCATGATGATGATGATGATGATCATCATCATCATCAATAATAATAATAATAATGATGATGTTCATTAATAATGATGATCATTAATAATGATGATCATGAATAATGATTATGATCATCATTAATCATGATGATGATGATCATGAATAATGATGATCGTTAATAATGATGAAGAACATTTGCTCTGTCATTGAATTCCAACTCGGACATCTTCAGAAAATGCCGGGCCGGGCTCCGGAGACCTGGGGAGGAGTTTACGAAAATCGCCGGGCCAGTGGTGTTTTGATCACAGCTTTTCCATGGCGTTTTTGTCGCTGAATTTTCTGCAGTTCTTGGAAGCAGGATCCAGGGATCAGGGATTGTTCGCGCTGATGTTTCGTGAGGAATCCGGCATCTATGTGTGAATTTCCATATAACATATAACATGGAATTTCCATGGAAATATATCATATGGAAACAACATTAAAATCATGGAATTACGTATATATCATTAATTTGTGTGAGTGGGATTTTGGAAGCGATGTCTTCACGTTTCTGCGGAGGAATCTGCAGTTGTGTTGGTTGGCTCCTGTTCATTACTGGTGCCCTGCGACGTTATGCTGCCGGAATGGTGGGAGACCCAGTGTAGAAATGTGTAGATTAGATCATATTAGATCTAATGATGGTTCTGTCAGATTCTGTTCCAGCAAATTTGCTCAGGGGTTCGGGTCTTGTGAAGCTAACAGCGAAGGTTGCATTCATGCATAGCAAAGGGATACCATAGATATCCATTCATCATCACTAAACAGCATTGTTAAATATGATGAATATCATTGAATATCTATTACACATTATATAAATATCCATATTTATCATCACTAATCAGCATTATTAATATCTATTACTCATTACATCTCCATTTCGGGGCACCAACGGTTCCAGGCTGGCCCCTTGAGTCTTGAAGGTCCCTCTTCAACACATGAAGGACACATCCGATTTGACCATGAATTTGGGAGGTCCACTCGGATGAATGGCGAACTTTGGCCACTAAATAGGCTTGGAAAAAACGGGAAAACACGGACGAAACCACAGTTTCATGGACCTCAAATGGGGACTGGTGAGGATGTTGACCGGGAGAGTTCCAGTCTGCTCCAGGGGACCTGTCTCTTGAACTCAAAGCACTTTGCAAAAGATCCGGACGTCAAAGGTGGGCCCCACGAGTTCTGTTTGCTGGTAAACTCCATTGTCAGACATATCCTACCATATTCCAGCATAAACCATAGAATTCACCTAGTTGTAAAATCTAAATATGGTTTATAATAGGTTCTGATTATAATCCACCTAAGTTCTTAGTTCACCAACTTAGAAATTGCGTCAATCCATGGTTCTCCCAGCTTGTCCATGGCCAGGATTGGCCGAAACCATCCCGTTGGCGCAGCATGTCTTGCTTTTGGAAGCACCTGGCTTGATGATTTCGCCGCTGGGCAACACAAACCTGGACAGCTTGGCCTTGGCGATGCTAACACATGGCTCCCATATTTTCTGGGATGTTACTAAGGTTACCCGTAAAATCATGAAACATCCCCTGTTTCTGTTGGTGAACTTACTTTATTTCCAAGGTCATCTCTGGATCTGCCGCAACTCTGGCGTCTTCGAAGTGTTCAAAGACAGATGCGCTGCTTGTTGGACCTGCGACTGACACTGGAACCTGGCAGAACACCAGATCTGCGGATGAACCGAGAGTTTCTTGGCTTTCCATAGCAATGCTGATGGCAAAACGACTCAGATCGATGGGAATTTCAGGAAATAGAGGAATATAGAGGTACTGAACCATAGAGTTATACCGTTATACCATATTTTCCAACCATCTGAAATATGATTTACGTAAGGGCATATCCCCTTACATAGCCCTGATATATGGTACCTCCAAGTTAGATAGCAATGGCGATCAGAATGGCGATCTCAAGGGGAAAATCACCATGGAATTACATGATAAATCCATGGATTGGTTTAGGACAAATCTTCACCGGAAACCATTTTACCATTACTGGTTGGTGGTTTGGAACAATGGAATTTTATGACTTTCCATATATTGGAAATGTCATAATCCCAACTGACTAACATATTTTTCAGAGGGGTAGGCTCAACCACCAACCAGATTCATAGGGGGGTTCCGGTTAAGATTTTCCGCTGAAAACCCATCCAGTGAATGATAAATCCCTGGGATTCTCGAGGTGTTCCCATCATTTTCTTCTGGCTGCCGTTCCAGTTACGTACAGGACGATGACCTTTGAGAAGATCGTGAAGATTTTCCAGGCAACTTTGATACGGGCGCGTGGAAACAACGATGGAACTGTGGAAAAAAAATGGGTGTGTTTGAAAATGGGGTATACATCCAAATTTAGCCCAGTGTAACAAGTAATAAAGTATGAGAATCTATTGGATTATGGGGTGTTTCTATTTTTTTTCAGACAAAGCCATATGTTGCAATTTTCAAGAAGGAGATATCAAATTATCTTCCAGGGAGTCGTGTTCAACAGTGAAACTTCTCATGCAACTCTTGAAGGGAATAAACACCAGTTGCATCACTGGAAGTGCAAGAAGTATGCATTCCCACTTGCTCATTGCCATCTTTGCGAGGAAAATAATATGTCCATCTCAGACGTTGATGTGAAGCTTATTGATCTTATTGCAACATCTAATATCCAATTAATTACTGCCATGAAAGAAGACAATGTCCATGTTAGGATTCAATCACCCTCATCAGTTCGATTTTGGTTGATCAGCGCAGCGATCATCCAATGGTCACTTTTTGGGTCAGTTGAATCCTGAAAAAACTCATAGCGATGGAAAATCACCATCAATAGCTGCGACTGGTGGTTTGGAACCATGGAATTTTATGACTTTCCATATATTGGGAATGTCATAATCCCTACTGACTAACATATTTTTCAGAGGGGTAGGTCAACCAGCAACCAGATAGGGAAATCAAGGAACTCAATGGGACATGTTCAATGGCAATTTCTGTTAGTCATTACCAGAGGGTCTTGCTGATGTTCGATTGAAAAAAATCTATGATACCCAAGGGTGTCCTCAAAGATGGCTGGCGAATCCCCATAAATCCTATAAATAATGGGAAGTTCATGGAACTAAATGGGGGATTTTCATAGATTTTCCAGCAAGCCATATATGATTACCAGAGGGTAATTCAGAAATTCGCCTTCATTATTGATACGCACTGTTACAGGCTAGCTCCAAAGGTAATAAAAGCCAGGTACCCACATCATAAAATCATCCATTTTCCTGCATGTTCCACCCATTTTCCTTGCTGTTTCCCATCATTTTCCCAGATGTTTCCATATTTTCCATCCATATTCTCCACATTTTCACCACATATTCCCCACCTGAAACCAGGCCATGCTGCTGCATCCTCCTCTCCTCCGTGCCCCCGACTGCGCCGGCCGCACGCCGCTGCTGCGCGCCGCGCAGCTCGGGCTGCCGCAGCTCTGCGCCGCGCTGCTGGCGGCGAAGGCGGAGGTGAACGGACGAGGCGAACGGAACAGGGGCTCATCATTATTTGTATACTCAATAGTATAATCATAGTATATTCAATAGTATAATCAATAGTATAATCATGTATAATCAAGTTTCTTTAATGAAGACCATTTGGGAATGGATCAATACCTATAGATACCAGTTTTAGTGGGATGAACATCCATAAATCCCAGCTATTTTGATGTGAACTACAGGGGTACAAGGTTTTGACACACTGCCATTTGTATACACATTCGTAATACTATAATCAATAGTATACTCATTACTGTTGATGATCATTATTTTTTAAATACTAATCATTAGTCTATGAATACATGTAATAATTAATGTTGTAGTGGTTAATGATTAATTATTACTACTGAGTATACTCTTAGTATACGAATGATTAGTATACTCATTGGTAAGAATCATGAGTATAATCATCATTACTTGGTGGTTCATCCCACCGATCGTAAGTGGGTCAAAAAACAGACTTAGAAGGGGGATAATAAGCCTACTTATCCCACTGATAAGTGGGGTTATATAACCCACTTACCATCAGCGGGATGAGCCACCAAGTATACTCGATTGTACTGTTAATGGTGTAGTGGTTAATGATTACTATCGATAGCTAAGCTTGTTTATTTGCCTCGGTGAATTCTATGGTGATAACTCGGGGACCCACCTAGACTGCTATTGTAGGAGTGCAATGATTATATGGCGTTGGTCGGGAACAAAATGACCATTTTTGGGTACCCTCCGGTAATCAAACCCAACGGAAAATGCCCTAGAAATGGAGGTTTTAGTAGGAAACTCATCCATAAACTGCCATAAACAATACCCATGGGATCCATGGTGCTGGTATATATGCTAACATAAAGGGGGTATGTTGATGGGATCCATGTTATCATATATAGCAGCACCATGGATCCTATGGGATATAAATGGCAGGGAATTATTCCATTTTCACTTACCGGAGACTATCCCCGGCTGGCCACTGGCGAGGCGGCAATGGCTGGACTGCCTTGCACTACGCTGCCACGGGTCGCTGTGTGGAAACCTGTCGCGTTTTGTTGGACCACGGCGCGCAGGCGCTGGGGCAGTTCGTGGCGGAGGAGCCATAATATAAAGCCATTGGGTTGGGCCGGAAATGGGGTAGATGAGGGGGTAGTTACTAACATAGCTATTGAACATTGCAATTTATAGTTGATTTCTACCCATTGAAAATGCTGATGTGCCGTAGTTGTGTTAGTTTACGAGAGGGTAAATATCTGATTAAACATGTTTGATGAGGGGTTGATCTGTGAACAGGGTTTGAGTGTTGTTTTTTTTTGGGATTCAACAGATGAGAAACGGGGATATCCGTGAAATTGTCGAACAATTGATGGGTTCTCTTCCATATGTTTTTTTTGGTATAGGGATACACAGATTTCAAAGAAACCACTTCAACCCATATGGAAATTTCCATGAAATTCCTACCAAACGGTTACCTGCACACCTAGGTGGAGGCGCGGTCGCTGGATGGTTGCACCCCCTTCTACTACGCTTATCGAGCTGGTGATGAGGTGGAGCTGATGCAGTTGCTTCATGCCCGAGGTGCACGCCCCGATTTGAGAGCACAAAATGCGGCTGGGACTGCGGACTGGGGCTACCTCCGGTATGGCGAAACACGGAACTGCTGCGGGTAGCTGATCCGGAAGCGCAGATCAGATTCCGATGTGCTGGCAGCAGCAGTAGTTTTCAAACGCCTAAAGAGGTCTTCCACCGTTGTAAGCCATGCCCCTGCCTTGAGATGAGCTGTTCATCTCTGTGTCCCGCTGATGGTGGAGATCATGGAACTGCACCAGCACCCAGTTGCGAGCTGATTTGTGTTCGGTTGTTGCCGCTGCCTGTGCTCGTTTGGTTGGTGCCTCGAAGTGGCTTGAGAGACCTCCAACAAAATAGATAGTTCACACATCAAGAAGACCATGGAAGAGCAAACATTTATGGTCCCCAGGTCCTGGAATGAAGTGACCCAGTACCCATTTGCAAAGACGATGCCAGACAAGTGGATAAGAGCGCATGTGTGATGGTCGAAAAAGGTGTGTGCAGGAGGGAGACTTCACACTTCAAAAATGGCTATGTGATGCCAGGTGATGATCTTGGGTGCCGGGACTTTCTGAAACAACCTTGTTGGCGTTGTCCACATGTGAGACATGCAAGCGCAAGTTAAGTTATTTAAGTTTACGGTGTTTACTGGACTTTTTTGGAATATGTTGGCAATCACCCTTTTTTACAGGCAAGTCAAGTACTGGGAATCTCTATGAATGATTCGAAAAATGGTACGTATATAAATGATATGGTATATCAACGAAGTACTATGGTGATATAAAAGTTGATTTTCCATTGCCAAGGTTGGATTCTACTGCGTGGTAGAGCTACTTTCATGGCATTGGCTAGGTGGAGCAGGATGTCGTCACTTACAACGTGGCCGTTGCTGTTCCCGCCCTCAGTTGTGCGTCGTGAGTCGTTGTCACTGGTGGAAATGTTGGGAAATTCATTGCACCAAACATTGTGATTTCAGCAACAAGAATGGGGATGTGCCACTGGCATCCACTGGCTCATTGTGTTGGTTTTTGTCTTTGGATACCATCTGGTAAACGTTTACGTAAAACTATGGAAAATCAACGAAAATTACCTTTTTTTGGAACGGTACATCAACGAACTCAATGGCCATTTTCAATAGTGAACTGTTATTTTACCAGAGGATTATGTTGCAACTACCAATAGATCCCTCCTCTTTGGACTGACGCTCCGCTGTGACCTTGGCAGTGGTGACGTTCGTGCCAGTGCTTGGTGGACATGGTGACTCATGCTTTTCAATGACTTAGGACTTGGGTGTTCCCAAGTGGGATGATGCTAGTGAGGTTCCTGTTCCACTTGCTGAGGCCTTTCCTGATCTTTGGTGATATTTCCTAGATATGTCATGATATTCCTGACTTTGTTGCTTTTTGTTTCATATGTTGTTTTGATGTTAGGAACATATCCCAACGTGGAGGATCATCCTTAGGACGTGATCTTCGTGGGGTGCTAAACCAAGGCCTGTGGTCGAGGGCAGCAATGGGAGCGGTCCTTGGCTTTGCCCGGGGTCCCTAGTCACATCCATGTGTTTTGGCCTCTGAAAATGAAAGGGTTCAGCAGTTATGGCCAGTTTAAGCACGGTGAATTTGATGATCAACTATACGTATATATATATATATTATATAATTTGTTCCTAACATTTTCAGGACCTGAAGCCTTTTTAAGTGAGTGAGCTGTTCGTTGGTCTCTGCTGCAGAGATGTACTCAACCTGATTTGGTAGATCTTTTCAATCGGCAGCTTTCAACCAACGGTTGGTGGTTTGGATTCCGAGGGAATTTCGTATGCAAGGGATGGTTACTTACAGGAAACATACTCCTCGGATTCCAAAGCAACAACCCAAAACCCGGTCAATGATTGTTTGAAGTTTGGTGATTTTGCGATTCATTTTGTGTCATTCAACTTTATTCAGTACATTTTGTTCAACATGTTTCATTCAATCAGTTCTAGTCCGACTGTTGACCCGACAAGAGAAGATAAATTTGCGAGATCATTTTTTTCGATCAGTGCTCCAACCTTAAAACCCATAGGATCCATGGTGCTGGTATATATGCTAACATAAAGGGGGTATATTGATGGGATCCATGTTACATCATGTTACCATATATAGCAGCACCATGGATCCGTCATGGGAAAGAATCCTCAGAAAAAATCTGGCCTTGACCTGTCAATTTTTCAGAGGAAGAACTCAGATCCGAGGCTCGAGACCATGTCTGCAGTGGACATTCCTCCAGACTTCGAGACCTACCAGGCGCGGCAAAAAAACCCGTGGAACACTTGAGAGTTAAGTTTTTTTGATAGGTAAACTCATCATTCATAATGGAACATGATCATTTAATTAATCCATCCATTATGGAAAATGATGAGAAATATAGGTAAAATAGAACATCTTGATATACCTTCTGCCTATTTTACAACGGAAAATCCTTATTTTAGACTAGGGTAAATCATCGTTCATCGATTTTTCCATAGCATATGTTATTAAACAATCACACGGTATCTGTATATCATGCTTTTTTTTCACATAAAATGTGAAATCACGATGACCTTGTCACCACACTTCTCCATTAAAAAAAAAACGAATCTGTTTGATGGGGCAGATCTCAGATCCCAAAAATTGGTTGTTGATCAGTTTCAAATCCAAAGGCTTCATGGTTAAAACTTTAAAATCTGGTGCTTTGGCACATGAATTGTATTTTTCCATAGGGAATGGAAAATGTCATCCCAACTGACGAAGTCCATGATTTTTCAGAGGGGTAGGTCAACCACCAACCAGAAAAGTAACTAAGTATGATCATCAATGGGATTTTTGCACCATATTGAACCATACAATCACCATATTTTTCGGGTAGGTCAACCACCAACCAGAAATGGTTGTTAGGAACACATGTGTTTCCCTTTAAAATCCATAGATCACAGCCACCCCAGAAATCCGTTCCAGATCAGGCAGCCTCTTTGGCTTGCAGCCGCAACGGTGAATGGGAGCAGGCCCCATGTGGGTATGGGCGGTATGGGTCAAACATGGTACAACTTGGGTATCACATCGACTAAAGTAATAGGAACACATCTGATAAACATGGTAATTGGTAAACGGTTTGGATTCCCCTATCATATGTAGGATTCAACATGGTAAAACAATCCGATAAACCTGAATTTATCCAAAAATTTGACCCATCACTTTATCCAAAGATATCCAAAGATCCTGGGTTTAAGATGTTTTTACGGTGGTGCAACCCACTTATGCAAGCCATGGATGCCTAGTGCAGGAAACTTCCTCCCGGTCATTTTGCACTCAAAAAATCTACATCGAAAGATCTGTGTTTAGAAACTGATCAAGAGCCATTGAAGAACAAGCCATCAACGTACTCGCAACTGAAAGCCATTCAGTGGGTTAGTTGTGGATTCTTTTCGTGATAGTGAAATATCATTATTTTCAGTCAGACCCAAATTCTATATCTGGGTAAATTATAACGACCTCACTGCGACCTCACTGGAATCATGGTTAATAAGGGAAATCATCCCCAAATGGCCTTAATTCAGGTTGGTGAAATATTATAACTTACCCATATATATATATATACATTATATGATATATATATATATATACACTACATATACATCCCCAATATATTCTCATTAAACACCCATCATTCGATATCAGAAAGTCTCCCTAGGCCCTGACCTTCCTTGAAATCGCCCAAGCGTCCCTTGGTGGCTGGGGTTTTGGGCCGATGGAGACAGAAAGATGTGGCGAAAACATGGCAAATGCTCATTAAAATCCATGAACATTCGGATTTTTCCACTGCCAAAGATGGGAAAACATGACAGAATCCCATCAAAATCCATCAAAATCCATCAAGATCCATGAAAATCTTTAGTTTTCGACTGCAAATGAGGGGTGATGTGGAGAGATGTAAAGAAGAATCCTTCAAAATCCATGATTTTCATGTATGCAATTTTAAAAGACTTGCAGGATGGTGGAGAAGTATCTCACTTGTGATTGGCCAAAACGATTTCACTTCACCAAACAAACCAATGTGATTTCACCAACAAACATGGGGATATACTAGATACAGGCTGATTGGTTTCGAATACCTCGCATTTTCCAACATATGTGAGACAATATGTTCCCGCTTGACTACCAAGACTGTTTGACTCACATGCGGTTTTAGCTCCATTTGTTTGGGTAAATTATAGCGACCTCTCTGCAACTTCACCGGAATGAATGGTGAATGTAAGGATAGCTATCCCCACATGGCATTCAGGTTGGTGAATTATGATAATAGATATTAAGAGATCATCATTTACCCAGAGTTATGGGGGATTTCTGTTTCATGCTATGTCAAGCATGACATAAGATGACAGCGCCTTGGGCCTTGTTTTGGGGATTTTCCACGTTTTTTGTTCCCTTTTTGGGCCACGTTTTAGGATGAGAGTGGCGAATGCCGAATCGTGGCACATCGGCATGATGGCCTGTGCAACTTGACCCAGATCCATCTGGCAACCTGATTTTTGGGTGTGTTTAGCGGAAAATCATGGGATTTCCAGGTGCTGGTTATTGATATTATATATATATATTAATTATTAAATATATACATACATATATGTATACATACATATATATATATACATATAAGTATAATATATGTATATGTATAAATATATATATAATATACAATAATGATTAGTGGTTATGAAGGGTTATGAATGGTTGTGAATGGGTATTCATGTTTTTTTTTTGCATATGATAATCTCAATATAACTATATTGTAGTGGTCAATCAAGGTGATAGATGATGATTAGTGGTGGTTTTTAATGGTAATTTCAGGCAAAACTGGAGGTATTGTACCATATAAAGCCATAGAAATTGGGGTTATTCCCCCTGAAAATTTGCCATTACATAGACCTTGCATATATTACGTGGAAGGTACCTCCAAGTAAGGTTCCTGAAATGGCCGGCCGCTGAACAAATCCATCAAAATAATATGTGATATTATATTGAATATAAGGTGATGTAAGGTAACTTAATTTGATATGATGAACAATCATGTGCCATAGTATTCCCACATGTTATAGATGATAAATGTATCCTTGAATTTGTTAAGATACCCTTAAAAGCGTTCTCATGGGCCAAGATGGAATTTTTGGGTGTACTATGCCATTGGTTCACTGGGTGAAAACCTCGGTGACATGGATGAATTCTTCTGCGGTGTGGTGATGGGCCCCGAAATCATCCAACATGTCTTTCTTTTAATGGGCAAAGCAGAATGGTAAACTGGGGTCGACTGGGGTTCCCTTTTTTCGAAAATCAACGCTGCAGCATCCATGGAATTCCATGGATATATATCCCGTGACGGATCCATGGTGCTGGTATATATGCTAACATTTGGGGTATATTGATGGGATCCATGTTACCATATATAGCATACATGGATCCTATGGGATATGGATATCTGGATGCATTTTGATGACTGCGGCGTCACTAGAAGCGATGGTGAATGGGGGAACTATCCCGAAGCAAAGCTTCGAGCTAGGTGAAGTAATACCCTTTCCCAGAGAAGATCCATAGAATTGCCCCAGTTCATGAGCTAAAATTAAGTTTCTAATTGGTATTTACTCAGGCTGGTGGAAGTTATAACTAGACTTAGATGGGATTCTCAACCAACAAACATACGTAGTAACTTAGCTGGGATTATAAACCATTATAAACCAACAAACATTAGCACATGTTTAGTTGGGACTAACAAAAACAAACATAACTTACCCTCTGGTTATTTAACATAGCTATGGAAAATCACCATTTTTGATAGGTAAACCATCTATAAATGGGTCATTTTCAATAGCTATGTTGAATTACCAGAGGGTAGATGCAATCATCAGAAAAACAACAAACATTAACAAAATTTAGCTGGGATGATGAACTTCTTCGCCCAGGCAAGCGCTGGAGCTTGGGAGGTGAAGCTCGGGATTTCGAAAAATGTCGAGCTGCAGGGGAGCACCACGGGGAAGGGCTTTCAAAATATATGGAAAACCACGAAAAAGTACGGGAAAAAAAAACATGGAAAGACCAGCCAAGACCATGGACAACCATGGAGAAAAACCATGGAGCACAATAAACAAAACGGTGTAAAACCACGGAAAAATATGGAACAAAAATGAATAGAACCTAGTTTCCCTAGAAAAATTATCTATAAATATCCATACATGTGAATTATATCGACCTGCATTTTGATGGGATACAATAAAATGATAGTATTTTTTGGCCAATCACGATCATTTGGGGTAATTGCTCATAGTTTGATGTGGAAAACACCCATAGTTTCGCGTTCAGAAATGATCCGGTCCCAAGATTTTGGAGGTCAATGGTGGACAATGGTGGGAAACCGCCACCAAGCACCGAAAAAACCTAATGGGATAGCCCGGCCAGAGGAGTCCAGACGTTGCAAGGGGATTCATGGGTGGCATTAACTTCTATGGCTTTGCAATCGTGGAAACTGGGTATCAACGTTATGTTGTTTTTTCGGATTTGGAGATGTGTTATATTTTTCTTTCTGCCGTGATTTTATTTACTGTTGGACTATCGTTGTATATTGTTACCCTATGATGTGACAATGTGGAAAATCAACCATGTGTAGATTATTTTCCTGGGGAACCCATATGGGTTTTCCACATCTATGTTATACATGGATGGTCCAGGGTCATCATGAAGTCCTCATCACTGCCAGGCAACCTTGGAGATGTTGGAATCTGCGGGCGTTGAATCACCGTTTGAAGCTCAGGGAAAACGGGGACGACTTGCAGATATCGGTCGCTGGAATCATAGCAGAACTATACCAATACTGAAAGTGAAAATTAACATAATTCGGCGGAGGTGGTTCTATGAAAATATACATAGTGCCCTTATAGTTATAGTGAAATACGATAATTTGCCCAGATATCTTGAACGAATTTGATGGCGGAGTAACCATCCATGGATTGAAAATCGTCTCCAGATTCAGTGATGATGTTTTGATTGGTTTATGTAAGGGAAACTCTACCGGAAAAGCCATGGTTTTTGCCATGGCAAATAGGGTGGGTTTCCGGTTGCAATTTCCCATGAAAACCCAATCCATTGAGATGATGATCCTTCCCTGAAGTGCCGCAAGGAAGGACGTCTCGCGGGACCTCATGTGCTATGGAGTCGCTTTGTAGCTCGACGAAAAGAGGAAGGGCGCCATCGTTTTATTTTGCTACTGAGACATGTTGGAACATGTTGGAACAATATATATATATATAAATCAATGGAATGGAATATCATGGAATAGAAAAATGGAGTGGAATGGAATGATAATCAATAATTTCCATCTTGACACGCTATAATCAATAGAATATCATGGAACGGAATGGAATGAAATGATGGGCAGATCCATAGTACCAACCACTTGAGCTGATGTGTTTGATTCAGCTCATCATGCAAGTTTATGATCGTGGCAAGCCTCAGGTGAAAACAACAGTGAAAACTATAGTATATAACTATATTAGGTGAAGTACTGATGGCCTTTTGCAAAATGTACTCAGCTGATGTCAGGTATTTGTTGTGCCAATTTTTGGCCTAAAATTGCCATGGCCAAATTGCCAGGTGGTCGATGTGGCTGTGGGATGTCTGAAAATTCCCATGGGATGACCGTCGAAAATCCCGAACTGAGTCGACGTAAGCAACGAAGCTGAGCTGAATTTCTTTATAACAATAACGGGGGAATAAGATAGCTAGTCTATCCCAGAAAAATTGACTCAAGTTATGACTTGCTTGTTATGACTTACTTGATCTTGCTTGACTTTCTTTGGAATGTTTATCAGCTATTCCACATTCCACATCCCACGAAATACCAGAAAAAAGAAGACCCAACATGTTAACTACAAAAATACCATCAAATACCAAGAAAAACACACACCAAAAACATTAAACATTCATTTCTTTCTCATTTCATGATGTTAACAAAAACATGTCGCCCTTGGTCGCCCTTTCTCCCTAGGTACGCCTGCATGGAGTCAGGGCGATGGCCCTTATGCTTGGCACTGCTGGAAAGGATGCGCAGGGAGGAGGTGCGGTGCGGGGCGACCTGGACGGCTGCCATGTGCCCTCCGAAATCAATCGAAATCACCTGGTTGGTGGTGACTGGAACATTGGTTTAGTATGGGATAATGATGGTTAATAATGGTTAATAATCACTGGTTGGTGGTGGCTGGAACCCATGGAATTTTGAATGACTTTCCATATATTGGGAATCATATTTCCATTGACGAACTCATATTTTTCAGAGGGGTAGGTCAACCACCAACCAGTCACTTGTTGGGTGAAGGGTCAGACGACTGAAAATCAGGATGTCGGACTTTCGAGGCAGGTTTCATCAAAGCCATTAGATCGCCATCGCCCGCCACGTAGCTTTTCAACTCAAAGCCTTTGTGCTCAAAGTGGCCACAGGCAGGTTAACACAGGTTGTGCTCGTCACTGGTTCCATTGCAAAACGCGTGTCATCATGGTGTACTATCCCTTCAATATGGTCTTTGTCAACGCTCGCATGAAGACCCTGACACATCGGGTCTTGTGCTTGTCCAGCATCGCCGCAGCTCTGGTGATTGCGAAGTATGTGATCTTCTTCTTGTCCGAACGCAATGTGCTCGAGGAATTTCATGAATCCCAGTATGCCCAAGAAGACAAGGCGGTAGTCTCCATCCTTGAGAACCTAGTTCATGGTTTTAACATATCTTTTATGTTTTAAATCTCCGTCATTCTTCATCCATCTTCATCCTATCACTCAAATGATGATCCTCCAGTTTTGTATCCCAAATTTTCAGGCTCAACGCGCCAGGAAACCCTATGGCAAGGTGCTGGTTGGAAGCGTTGCTCTAGTCTTGTCCTTGATCGTACCATGCTGTGGCTTTCTTGGGGCCAAAACCAACAATCGCTCGTGCATTTGCTGCTTCTCATGCTGCAACTGTTGCGGTGGATGAAACTTGCCTGGTGCTTTCATTCAGTATGTTTTTTCGTTAAAACGCCGATTTTGGATCAGGATTCCCATAGGAGGTTTCCTAAAATGAAGGATCCCCTTAAAAACCATAGGTTTCAAGACTAAAATGGTCTGACTTGGATGGTTCGGGGGTACCCCCATAACTTAGGAACCCCCCATTCCCCATATTGACTCATATTGACTCATGTGTTTCTTGTTGGGGTCGATGAACCACGAATCAGGTTTGCACATCCTCCAAGCCATTCTCATCATTCTGATCATGGTGGGTCTTGGCGGAGTGGAAACCTACTGTCGACAGCCAGGAAGTTGCGATGGCATTATGAACGCGTGCAAATACCACAAGAGTCACTGGTTGGGGCTGGTTGGTTTTTTAAAAACAGCCATGGTTTTTGGCCATATTCCTCTTTGGTTTAATGATCCCAAATGGGGCTGGGTCAAAATTGAATTTTACCCAATTTTGACCTATGTAAAAAAAGAATTACTTTCCCGTATTCTTAAATATGTTTTTTTACACTCTCATTGATACGAGGTGACCTCTATGCACTGGACACCTATGAGGGATGCTTGGACTATTTGGTATCTATGTTCCCATCAGCCTATGCGGGCTTGGGCATTGCTTTGGGCCTCACATGTCTTGCGATTTGCTTCCAATGTGCTTCGGCCCGCTGGGGCAAAGAGCTCTATGACGTGTTGGCATATGAAGATCTTTGCTTGGGCTCCGATTCTGATGGCGTTTGAGAAACCGGGCAATGAATCCGGCAGGCGAACTTTTGGACGGAGTAACAGAATCAAGCAAACAGCTTATGGCTATCCGGTAGCTCGATGTAGGTGTGTCTGAACAAGCCATTTGACTAAGGAAAAACATCAACCAAGCGATGGATTTGATAAGAAAAACTCAGACAAACCCAATGGTACCCAAGGCTCCGAAGGCCTGACGATCGGAGGCGGACAAAGGCCTGAAATTTCGGTTAGCCTCCAAAGGTCGAATGAAGACCTAGCAGATCAACAGTTCCAATAGGTTGTTTCAATAAGTTCCAATAGGACCCCAACAATAAGCCCGGAATGATCTATATAATTCTATATATACTTTCACTACACTGGGTTTTGAGTTTTGAGCACTGTCGATTATGCATAGGAACATTGTTTTGTTTCGTGATTCCATATCCAGCACAACCAAAGAATGTATTTTTTTGGTGGGAAACCCTTGCACGCTTTATTTAGGCCTTTTGTTTTTTTTGGCATTTGCGTCCATCGATAAGTCCTGATTTCGTTATTCTACAGTATCATATTGAAATCAAGAAACACCTTTCAGAACATCTCTTGGTGAAACCGGCCATGGCCGGCCACTGGAGGCAAGCATTTTGGTCGGGTTTTTTCGAGGAACCGGATTTCAGGCCTTTCGTTTCCAAGGTGGAAACCTTACAAAAGGAGGCCTCTGACGCATGGGGTGCATATGTTATAGTAGGAGACACGGTCGGAGACTCCAAACACTCGATTGGCGAAAAAGTCATTTGTGGTACAACCCGGCACCGGAAAGAGTGGGCGACCACTTGCTCTGAGTTGTTCCAGGATCCTATGTAAATGGATTGGTTGAAACAATCTACAGGGAAATCCAGAGTCTTTTATCATTAAAGATGATTAAAGTGAAGGTTATTTCGCAAGTTTTCCTTTCAACCAAGTTTGCGATATGTTTTTTCTCAGACTTGGACAGCCTGCGCGAGTTGCCTTATCTTTACATCGTCTCAACAACCCCAAAGTTGCAAATGGGCGCGTGTTACATCCCCCAATTTCATCCAATTTCTTTAGCGATACTCCCAGTTTTACTTCTGATATTGCATGATATTACATGATCTTACACGATATTACATGATATACACAAATGATCACACATGTAATATGCTCTAGTCATTCTAATCTGACATCCTTAATTTAAATATATTTAAATACCATGAAAAATACCTCAGGACTCCTTGTCGAGACCGTCGGATGTGTGAAAACTTTTTATGCGGCACTGACCATGGATATCACCTGGGATCCCAAGCTTTGCTTCACATTTTGAAAAAAATATCCATGAACATCCATGAATTGGATGGTTACTATCTGGTTATTTAACATAGCCATGGAAAATCACCATTTTTAAGTTCGGTAAACCATCTATAAATGGGCCATTTTCAATGTTACCCATAGGATCCATGGTGCTGCTATATTAATGGTAACATGGATCCCATATTTTACCATCAATATACCCCTTTTATGTTAGCATATATACCAGCACCATGGATCCGTCATGGGTTAGTATAAATCCTCCATTTCATGGCATTACAATAACCATACATAAATAACCATTAAAAAAAACCATAAAGAACCATATTTTATGGATACTTAATTGGATGTAAATCCCCCATAAAATTTTGGAAGAAACGCTGCGCCAGGTGGACGCGGATGCAGTTGCCTTCGCCTGTGCTGCTCAAGCCTGTCGTGACGGCAGGCGCGGTTGAGCCGTAAACGTGGAAAATCCATATGGCTTTCACAGGAAAAGCGTCCATGGTTGATGTGGAAACATCTAAACGTTTAACAAACCCATAGGATCCATGGTGCTGCTACATATGGTAACATGGATCCCATCAATATACCCCCTTTATGTTAGCATATATATACCAGCACCATGGATCCGTCATGGGAAAAGGATAACAATGAGATGAAAATGAATGTTAAGGTTAGTAAAGCAATAGTGAAACATCCTCAATTTTACCAGAATTTTACCACGCTAGGGATTTGATGGGATATTGATGGGGGATAGTTGATGGTATACTTGACATTACTTGATCAAGAGTGTTTTGTCTGAAAAGAGTGCTGGGCGGGATTCAAGTTACATGGGACTCCAGACTCCAGCCCTTAATTGACATTCCAGTGCTAAATATCATGATAATCCTTTGGAATCAGTCTAGTAAACCCATATTATGGGCGTGCCTGCGTGCCTGACAAAACCTCGATCTTGCAAACATCACAAGGATTTTACTTTGCATCCTCTAGAGCCTCTTGTGTCTGGTGATATGTCACACTTGATTGGGTGGTGAGAACTTCAAGAAAATCACGTGGCTGAGATCCTTACTGTAGCTCTGCCAAACATAGATTCTGCCTAAACTTTCCTCTACAAGTTGGCGATTTTCGGGGCCTATGTTGTAGGGAAGGTAACACTAGCAACTTCATTTTTACCAACATACTAGCAACTTGCTAGTGCTGTCAAAATCCCATCTATGGCAATATCACCATAGTCAATTCTTCCCCATAGTGATATTATATAAAATCATTACCATAGATACTTCCCCATTTTGCCCATTCATTCGTGATTCTATAGTCATTTTATGCTCATCCTACACAGCCCCGCAGGAATAGTGACGCGGCGAACGAGATCATCAGCGAGATGCGCTTGAAGAAGATGAACACCAACGTGGCGGAGGCGGCGAATCGTGCACGTTGGCCCAGATGGTCTCCCGAGCCTGGTAGGGGATTTTTTTAGGTGGGGTGGTTAGCCCCAATGTATCAGCTTCAGGACTTGAGGTTGGTGAATTTGAGTGCAATTGATCCAGAGAAGTGGCTTCAGTTGATGGGAAAACGTCATGGAGCTTCCTGCAGTGATGGTTGGACATGCAGGACTCAGAATCCAAGGTTGACTTAAGGGATCTCCGGGAATTCCTGGTTATGACTCAAAATCTGATGAGTGTCGTAGATATCATCTTTTTCCCAGAAACATAGGGGATATATGATATGATGATATCATATGATATCATATCCCATAGGATCCATGGTGCTGCTATATATGGTGCTCCATGGATCCCATCAATATACCCCCTTTATCAGGGGCGTGCCCAAAAGCCAAACTGGGGCTGTCATTGTGTAGGAAATCAACCTTGTTTTTGTTTCACCATTACGGATTGTAGAGCTAATGAACGGGGATATCAAGTATGGGTATATATCAACTGGGTATATACGCGAAACGCCTACTAACAAGAACGGACATCATGGATTTCGAGGTCCTCGAATGAATGATTGCCTGGAATGATGAGTGGAACGCGTCAATGCGAGGAACTATTCATATGATATATCAGCAAGTTGGCTACAATTTCGTGATAGGCCTTAGGCATATATGCCAACCATAGCGGGCTGCTTGTCATCCCGTTATTCCTGGTAGATGCCAGCAAGACTATCTTATTAATATGGTATTCCCATTATTAAAGCCATTTACGCACGGATTTCGATCCCATTATGGTTGGCAGATGTTCTCATTACTCTTTCCTCGGTCTAGCATTCTGGAGCTCTATTGTTGCCGCTCTTGGCCCCACGGGACCAACAGCATCCGGCCGCATGCCGCAAGTTTATGATGGATCTATCAATTCCCGACGTGCAGCGTCAATGGGCATTCTACATATCTAAGGCATAATCGCTTAACTACATTTCAGCACGTCCGTTTTTCCGCCCATCGTCTGGAAGGGATGTGGATGTGAGGGAGCGGAACGGAGTGGAAGAGGTGGTCCTAGATATTTGATTTTGCTTGGCCGCATCTTACACATACAGATAGTATACATATATATATATATATTACCGAATAATTTGATGGACGAGGGCCGTTTTCATAAGATTTTGGTGGAAGAGATGGGTACAGAAAGAAGGATGAATGGGGGAGGGAGCAGATGGCTCTTAGGGTGCTGGAATGAAGCACACCCGAGGACATTGGCGTGGACAACGATATTGCAGTGCAGAGCGGTTTTGGCCATGAACCAGGGTAGTGCAAAACACAACAAAAATACCCAACGGCTAGGCCTGGCTTGGAAAAAGCACTCGCCGCACCAGGCGCGCAAGAAGCGCGCGCCCCAGGCGCGCAAAGAGCGCGCGCCCCAGGCGCGCAAAGAGCGCGCGCCGACAATAGGCGCGCAAAGAGCGCGCGCCTTTATGTAGGCCCTACTCCGTTTGGTAGGTGGTTTTAAGCAACGGAGGCAACAGTTTGACAGAAGCTGGGATACAACCCCAAACAGGAGGAACACACAGACTGGGATGATTTTCCGGCGGTATACTGAACCCATAAAGAAGCTGGGCGCCCAAAGGGGCGCCAGGCGCGCAAAAGCCGCGCGCCCTAGACCGCATGTGACGGAAGGAGTTATACAAGCTGAAGGCCCAGGAGATGGAATGGTGTGAGCTTATGTTCTCACTGTTGCAATCTAATGCATTTGGGTTGGCTGCTCATTGAGAAAAGAACTGAAAGCATATTTTTTTCGGCAGATTCTTTAATATCCGAAGGGTTCCTCAATATGGCTTCCATCTTGTTGAAACGGCTTTGTGGAGACTATTGAAATTGTGGAGTGCCGGTGGGCCTAACTTAGACTTGCGTGTTGTTGTTTTTCGTGCTTGCTACGCAGAGCTTGAAAGAACAAGCATGCATGCCGGAACTTGAATGGACGCTTCAAAGGCCACCCTGGATGCAAACACATGGCAACACAGAACAGCTGCATCGCCAGCGCCTCTAGACCTAGGCAATCAGAGACCTTAATCCGGGCACCTTCCAGAGCTGTTCCGGGCATTCTGGATTGGGAATCCCACCAAGGAGGGTGTCGCTGTGACACCGTGCTTGGGATGATTCAAAATGCCGAATCCCACTTGGAAAGCTTAGATGGCTTGGACTGGCCACATATACAAGAGAAGCAGCTGAGGCAACAATGTTTCTTCTGATTGTGGATTCCGAATCCCACCAAGCAGGGTGTCGCTGTGACACTGTGCTTGGGATGATTCAAATTCATCAAAAGGACCAATACAGTTGAGACGATACGGGACTTGGTGGCATAGCCGCTTGAAGAGAAAGTGTTTCTACCTTTTGGCTTGTCAAAAGAACGCGTAGAGCAGAAGATATAGAAACGATAGGCAGTACAATTTTGAGCGAACCAAGGCTTTAGATTTTAGAGTGCCACATAGTTGGACACAATTTTGCCGGCAGCACCGAAAAAGATTTGCGTCCTCTGTGATGGAGCATGCATGTGTTTCTTGAGCCCAAAGGAAATCAGCTCTTGGTGCGAGCAATTAATGCTATTGTTTTCGCACCCACGTCGCAGATCAAAATTCAAGCCATGTGCTGCTGACGGCTACAGCCGGGAAGAATGGCTGCGTGCCACAGTGGCCAACTGCTATATTCGCGTTCCGTCGCGTTGCAGCATATAATGTTGTATGTAAGTCCTCCGCCATGCCCTTTCCAGTCGGCTTTGGGGGGGGGTGCTGTTCTTGGCTGGGTCTTCATCTTTTGTGCCGTCTCCAGTCCAACCTCATCGGCATTCTCCGCCTTCTTCCCTTCCATTGCATCCCGGCAGCTTACGCTTGCAGTTCCCCAATGCCTTTGTTGGTGAAGCCGAAATCCAATTCCACAATGGCCTAATGATCTACAACTACCTCTGCTAGACTCATGATGTGTGAGCGCGATGAAAGTTTCCAAACTTTCTCTTGAAGTCAGCTCAGCAGTGGCAAATCCAGACACCGCACGGCTATCACCTTAAGACGCAATGTGAAATTCCGAAATTCACCGGCTGCGCCTTGACGCTGGAGATCTTAACCTTTCACTCAAGATGCACCTGCTCCCATGTGCTGGACTTGAGTGAGATAGGCAGGGGCCACAGAAGTCATTGGGCTGCAGACATTTGGAAAAATATTCCCATGCGAAAGACGGCAACTCTGGCAACGGCTTCAGGTGTTCTTAGGGGGGCTCAGATAGGAATTCAAAACGCTGATGGCGAAATCAGGGCCTGCCGCGCGCACACCGCCACAGGTTCTGCAACAATGTTCTCCAGCACTTCATATTTCACAAGCCATCAGTTGAAGTTTGCTGTTGCGACGACAGAACGTGTGCAGGTGAAGCATGAATCCTGAGCCTTTCGGTTCCCTATCGCTATCGGCTTGCAGTGTGTTCTTGAGCCGCTCAGCATCAGTGAAAACGGCCTTACTTGATTGCAATGTGACAATGTGTTCCCTCAATTGCCCGGTCATCTTCTCAGGGACGGTGCTTGCCCGTGACGGGCGGGATGACTATAGCAAAGCATTGTTGCCAAGCAAACTTCACCTGGAACAGAGGAAGCGCCTGCTCCCATTTAATCTTCTAGTACTGGTAGATGGTCTGATAATTAACGAGTAAGTCCCACAATCCAAAACAGTAATTTAATGAAAGCATTGATAATCGATGATTATAGCTGTTACCAGGTGTCATTGTGCTTGCAACTCTTTAAACTTAAGCTGTGGGTGCTACTGTGGTGGTTCATTCTGCTTCAACCTGGATGGACCCATCGCCACTTGTGGCGATGATGTAGGGGCTTGTATTTATCCACGGATGATCGGGCTGAATTCTGATGGCCTCAAAAAAAGTTCGGTAATGTTTTTTTTTGCCATGCCTTTTGCTGTCATATTATTGGTCGATGCGAATTTGCTTCGCAACTGGAGAAAAACAACCAATAGCCAACCCCACGGTCAAACTGCTGTTCCTACATAGTGGCTGTTGTTTCGAAGTTGTGGGAACGGCCCTGTTTATGTTAGCATATATATATATATATACCAGCACCATGGATCCGTCATGGGATATGATATCATATAATCTGGGTAAATTATAACGACCTCACTACGACCTCACTGGAAATCATGGTTAGTAAGGGAAATCATTTGGCCCAAATGGCCTTAATTCAGGTTAGTGAATTATTATAATTTACCCAGATATAATACTCGTATGATATATTTCTCCTCCAATGACTCAAACGATGTTTCAAGGGGTGGCTCGTTCCCGGCAGGTCTTGAATGAGGCCACGCTGTCGGTGGATTTCCCAGAGGCGATGGGATGGTGGTGGTTTTTTTTATCTCTCCGAAACGGTGACCCTGTGGTGGTCTCACTAGGCTTTATAACTACCCTCTGGTAATTTAACATAGCTATTGAAAATCACCATTTATAGTGAGTTTTCCCATTACTCTGGTAATTTAACATAGCTATTGAAAATCACCATTTATAGTGAGTTTTCCCATTAAAAATGGTGATTTTCAATAGCTATGTTAAATTACCAGAGGGTATATAGTTAATTGGATGTTCATGGGGGCTAATGAGTATAGCATATAACTCTTGGATGATAATTGGTATAATATGGTATAATATGGTATATAATAAGATAATAATGTATAATATAATATATAACACTATAGCAATACTATAGTATAATAAATGATAGCTGATGGTCCATTGGTATTATAACTATAGTTACTGGATATCCATGGGCGTTTATAAAGTAAGAAAGAAATTGGGGTGGGCCACCTTGTACATGAGAGGCAAGACCTTGGGTTTGGATAGAGAATATACTTAGCTTCATACCACAGTCGCGTAAAGTACGAGTAGGAATGGATGAGTTGTTCACGAGGAATCTAAGAAAAGCGAACATCATTTGTTAGATGAGACCGCCATGGCAACCCAAGAGATAACTAAACTGACCTCACTTGCCCTACTGAAATATTTGGGATGAGCTAACCCACTTAATAACTTTAGTGGTCAATAACCCTGGTTGGTTTTTCCCCGAAATGGGTTATCCATGGTTATCCCCGTTATGTCTATAGGTGATAACCCCACAAACACAAACAAGAAACTGATACCTTGCGTGAACCACCAAGTGCACCTAACCTCTCACAATAATCAATCTTAAGCATCATTTCATATCTGATTGGTGGTTTGGAACATGTGTTTTTCCGTATATTGGGAATAATAATCCCAACTGACTAATATTTTTTCAGAGGGGTTGAAACCACCAACCAGCTAAGTAGCTAAGTATGATAATCAATGGGATTAAACCATATTAAACCATACTAACCATATATTTTCCCATATTTTCCCATATATCCCGATATGTTGGATGACCTGTCCTGTCCGACCATCCATTTCTCCAAACTGGCGAATGGCGAGGTACGAAGCCCTGTACCTTTGGGCGCTCTGAGGCGGGAAAAAAAAACGTTTCTTGGGGTTCTTGGGGATACCAGAGAATGGTCACGAAATACCCTCTGGTAAACGTTTACATAACTATGGAAAATCACCATTTTTCATGGGAAAATCCACTATAAATGGTGATTTTCCATAGTTATGTTAAATTACCAGAGGGTAAATGGTAAGATGACAATTTGAAGCTTTATGCCATGAATTTTGAGATGATCCGATTTGAGGGTGGAAAAGCTTGACGGAACGTCGTTCGGTGTTGTTCGTGTTCGGTGGTGTGCCGCCACGTACGTGTATGTATGAATTTCGTCCCTTGGGAGTATACCAAATCAGCATCTCCACACACGTATGTAAAAATCCTGCATTTTTTTGAAATATATTCAAACATATTCAAACTATATATGACTGACAGTATATTCATGACTCAAAATTATTCATGTATATATTGTATATTCATGTATATATCATAATACCCATGACGGATCCATGGTGCTGCTATATATGGTGCTCCATGGATCCCATCGTCGCTGGGATATTCGTTGGCTTCTCAGAGGCCGATGGCGCCAAAGGAGGTGAACCTTTACAAATGGATCAGGCGAAGTGACCGGTGATGAGGTGAATGAATGCTGCAAAAATGAATGGTTATCCCCTGTGGTTATTACTATAGCAATTCAGTAAATCCATGACTTATTAGTTATGAATGGTTAATTATGCTTATATATTAATGGCTATTTTCTGGAATTACTATAGTTTCCGGAAACGAAATCCAAGGATAGCAATCAAGGCATCATGCTGCATCCTTTGGTAATCTAGCATGGCTGTCTGAAATATGTGCATGTTCATGAAGTAAGACATTTATATGACTGGGGTAAACTAAGATAGATGTGGAAAATCCATGGTATCCCGTTCTCAAAATGATCTACAAATGGCAGTTTCTTATGGATGTTCCACAGGTATATTAGGTAGATCAGTAGATCAGTATAGGGTACCAATCTAAAGATTGCCAGGGTATGGTGGGCTTGGAAAATCTACAAAAATGTTGGTCAATTTTGAGAGCCCTTTGGGCCAAGGGTATATAGTGGGGATTGACAAAGAATAGTGATAAACAATTGTGAAGTATTAAAGTATATATCAAACTGATACTCATTATTAGAAATATATCGTGTATTATTGTAGTATTGTATAGTATTGGTGTATATCAAAGTAGTATAGTTTACTTATTCTTAACAATTGTAAGCAAACTACATTACATTAGTATCACATATCGTGGGCAGATTCAGAAGTGAAATCCTCGCCATATCGCGCCGTTTTGAAAAGATGACCGTGATGAGAAACTCATCGTGTGCTGCCGTGAGTGTTTTTTTCTTGGGGAGACCCGATGGATTCTGAACAAAAAACATAGCCAAAATATTTTGCTTCGGTGTTAGATTGTGAATGTACCCTCTGGTTATTTAACATAGCCATGGAAAATGGCCTATTTATAGATGATTTTCCCAGCTAGAAACCTCCATTTATAAGGGATTTTCCATGGCTATGTTAAATAACCAGATGGTACATAATCACCAAAAATCTTTTGCTGTTTATGTCTTTTGCGGTTGATCTTTCCAGATGGAGAATGTTTGATGATCAACGGCAAACAAGGTGATGTTTTTTCTATGATATACTCAATTACCATTGCTTGATCTTCATGTGGTTTTTCTATATTTTTTGTGTTTTTGCTGTTGATACTTCTGATATGATATGTTTCTTGAGATGCTGCAGGTGGTTACTGTTTCTCCAGATCCAAGCTGCGGAACAGCGGAACCAGGCAGCGTGCAACGCCGGGAGACGTGGCATCGGTCATTCAGGCCGTTGGGAGGATCTTTTGACACCTTCGAGGTGGGGGTCCCAAAAGAAATGTCTAAGTTGCTGTAAATATGTTGCTTACTGTACCCGGCCTGGTAAACGTTTATAGTGATATATTCATTGCACAAATATATCAATATGAAGTGAATATACATAACTATGGAAAGATCCACCATTTTGAATAGGCAAATCCACTATTTCTATGGCCATTTTCAATAGTTTTTTGTATGTTTACCAGGTAACGTTTGGGGGATATAAACCAACTTAGGCGTATCAGCTAGTGGGAATTCCATGGAGATCAGATGTAACTATCATATCACATCCTGGACATTTAAAAAAAAAACATCTCTGAATCTTTTTGGGTAGCCATAACGAACTGGAAAGATCCACCATGCTGTTAATTAGTGTAAATCATATGGTAAATCCACTATCAATGGCCATGTTCAATAGCTATATGATTTTCCATAATATATGGGATAATCCTTCCCATTGACTAAGATTTTTCAAGATGGTTAAAACCACCAACCAGCTTCAAATCTTTTTAATAAGATCCCAGAACATGGTTTTGCTTAGTGTTGCTTTAAATGACGACCTTGTTTGAGCGGCTGGAAGTCAGTCACTAGCGGAGAGCTTCTGGTGGAGTTCTTTTTTCTGGTGTTGTTGAGTGCTTCATGTGCTAGGCCAACCACCCGCCCGCCTCCGCTGTGATTTTCAGGTGATCGAAGAGTTTGCCGAGGACGCGGGTCCCCAACAGCTCGTTGTGCAAAAAAGCCCCAAGACGTCTCCAGAAGTCTGAAGTTCAAGAAGTGAATCTCTTCAAAAATTGTGTCATCATCTGGTTGGTGGTGACTGGAACATTGGTGAAATGTATGGGATAATGATGGTTAATGATGGTTAATGATGGTTAATGATGGTTAATGATGGTTAATGATGGTTAATAATCACTGGTTGGTGACTGGAACCCATGGAATTTTGAATGACGTTCCAGAAACACTTGGGAATGGAAAATCATCATCCCAACTGACGAAGTCACTCCATGATTTTTCAGATAGGTCAAGCACCAACATCATATCCATCGTCTCAGTGGTAAATCCAATGAATCCACCCATCGCTGCCCCAGTTCGCTGCAAAGAACGAGTACTGCTAGCTTTATGGCTAATGGTAGGTATATATATATATATTATATATATACATATATTATAGTTTCTCTGGGGTTTTACCAACACTTGGTTCATGTCCGGTAGGTCTATAGTTTTTCTGGTTATAGCTTCAGCAACAAAGCTGGGATCAGGAGCGTAGCTGGTTGAAGATCCAAGGAGAACAGAAGAAGGAACTCTTGGAGGCGACGGCCTTGGGGAGGCTTGGTGATGGGAAGATGAACAATGATCATGGCATGTCATTTTACAGGTTTTACCATGGTGATATACATTGGTGGTTTGGAACCATGGACTTTTATGACTTTCCATATATTGGGAACAATAATCCCATTTGACTTTCAGATTTTTCAGAGGGGTAGGTCAACCACCAACCAGGATCATGGCATGTCATGGTTTCAGAGATCCGGTGCTCGTTTCCAGGAGTTTGAAACTGTGTTTTGTTGAGAGAAGTATCTCGGTCCCTCAAAATCCGATTTTTAGGGGATTGAAAGCGCCAACCAGTGAATGATCAGCATCTTTTCGTTTGGAAGTTGCGGCTCTTTTGGCACTGAAGCTGGTGAACTGTAGCTGATCTTGGTTGTTTTTCGTCGGCTTCTGGTGATGTGACTCGTTCAGAACGGGTTCACGGTCCAACTTGCATTTTTCCAGCCAGTCTAGTAGGTGGTTTAGGATTTCATAGTGGAAATGTATGGTCATGTTTGATCTCCAGTCTGGAAAGATAGTCCTGAATGTTGACGAAACAGAAGCATCTTCTCGGGATTTGGAGGTATAATATGGTATAATGGAAGTATATGAGGCAGTCTGCCACCAACCACATCCCATCCTGATCTGTGGAGATCGAAATACTTTGCATTACAACCCCCGGTATTCTCTTAGTCGCGATTATTTGGCCACACGGGCTTACTTGGATGTGCATCCTACTTGGTACTGGATGATCACATATCTATCCGATCCGATCCTGTGCTACTGCTGCTACTGCTACGCCACTGCTACGCTGACCTATGCTTTGCTATGCAATGCTGCGCTATCCTAATCCCAATTCCAATCCTAATCCCTATCCTATCCTTTCCTTCCTGTCCTGTGCCATCCTATCCTACCCCATCATCCCCTATTCCTATTCCTATTCCTAATCCTATCTTTTCCTTTCCTTTCCTTTTCTTTCCTTTCCTATCCGTTTATGTAATCTATTAATTGTTCGACCTATCAATCTATGAATCTATCTGCCTATCTGTCTCTATCTCTATCTCTATTTCTATCACTATCTATCCACTATCCATCCACATCCATCTATCTATCATTATCTATCTAGATATTCATATTCAATGTACCTAATTGGCCCTTTGCCATGGAAACGTGGTTCTGTCCCACGTTTCAACTGGTTTCAACTGGTTTCAACTGCGCGTTAAAGCGCCCTTCAGAGGCCAGTCTCAGAGCAGAGGACCGTGTGGTGGAGTTTGGGTGTCTGGGGCCCCAGGGATCCCAGCGATCCAGCATTGGGGAGCAGCTCAGCAGCTCACTGCTTCGATTTGGGCTGACGGGCTGACTGTTGGGCAGAGTCATGCAGAGTCATATGGGTTATACGTTATTCCAATAATCCCCTGATATTTACTGTAATAACGTATAATTTAATCATAATAATCCCCATACCATATCTTAGTGATGGGATTCTGATGGGATTTCTGGCCTTTGACTCCACATGATCTTGGATCATTTTGGCCCATGTTCCTCGGAAATTCATGGGGAAAGTCATGGGGTTTTCTGCTGGATCAACCCCCAGTGGCCAGTGCAGTACCCTCTGGTAAACATACAAAAAGCCATTGAAAATGCTGATTTATAGTGGATTTAGCCATGAAAAATGGTGGATCTTTCCACAGTTATGTTAAATTACCAGAGGGTAATTGGGAATGATCGTACTCAGATTACTCAGAATCGTTGTGTAATCCTGGAACCTGGAATCCTCATGGAAAAGTATAGTAACTGGTTGGTGGTTTCAAACATGACTTTTATTTTCCATTTCATCTATGGGATGTCATCCTTCCCATTGACTCATATCTTTCAAGATGGTTATTGCACCATCAACCAGGTAATAACCTATAACATGATATAAGTGTCAATATTACCTGGTCTGGTGGTTTTATGACCAAGTATTACGTTATAATGTAATACACAATATCCCCAGGTAATAACATATACCCTCTGGTGAACTAACATAGCCATGGAAAATCACCATTTTTCATGGGAAAATCCACTATAAATGGGCCATTTTCAATAGCTATGTTAGTTCACCAGAGGGTAACGTATAATGAATGCTGTATGTGTCCAATTGCATCCCCAGATCTTCTCAGATCTAGGCTGAATCCGTGATAGTTCGGCTCGAGGGTTCAAGTATTAACACTGCAAAACCCCTATTTCAATAAGATTATATATATGTTGATAGTAGCAATTAATCATATAATCATCTAATATATATATATATATAATCATTATATAATCATATCTGGTTGGTGGTGACTGGAACCATGGAATTTTTTGACTTTCCCATCATATTGGGAATTTCATCATCCACACTGACGAACTCCATGATTTTTCAGAGGGGTTGGCTCAACCACCAAGCAGATTACCATTTCATTTGGATTATTAACATTGCTAAATTAACATTGATAAATCGTTCATTAATTATTCTGGGTAAATTATAACGACCTCACTGTTCTCCCTCACTGGAAATCATGGTTAGTATTGGAAATCATCCCCAAATGGCCGAACTATTCAGGTTAGTGAAATATTATAATTTACCCAGATTAATTATTGTCTTTGGGGATTGACATGCTACTCTTGAACTGGGAACCTTTTCCCAACACTCAAGCCAGTACAGAGATGACAACTAGATCGGCTCTTGAAGTCATAAAATCTCCTCATGTCGTTGATGGAGTATTCCCCATGGAAAATCCCCTCTTTCACCACTGCTTTCGTTTTTTCAATGACCCTTTGCCTCTTTGAAAGACTTAAGTGACTCATGTCAAGATATGGGGTTGGGTCAATACCTATTAATACCATTTTTAGGGGAATGAACATCCATTTACCAGCTATTTTGATGTGAACTACAGGGGTACAAGGTTTTGACACACTGCCACTTAAGTGACTCATGTCAAGATATTTACCATCTCCACTACTTCTTCTGGTTGCTCCAACTCATTGAATGCAAAAGCTAGCCACAAGGGTGGTAAATGGGTCATTGTACCTCAACCTCCCTGGGTCCTTGGGGTGTTTGGAGCTGAGTTTGATGACCTCACCATTATTGGTGTTGTCCTTGTGGTGAGTTACTATCACCATTAATAGGTTATCGTCATTATAATGGTAGTGGTTGTGATAGTGGAATTATTATTGTTAATTACAATTGGGATTATTATTGTCAATTACTATCCCAATTTTGATAGTATAAATATCCTAGATGGAACTTTTATAGTATAAGTCTATCATTAATTACTATTCGTTTAATCATTACTATCACCATCGACCAATACTGGTGATAGTTAACAATAATGACACTCGTCTATCATAAGTTGTTATCATAAATATCTGGGGATGGGTCAAAACCCTGGTACCTTCTGTTCACCCCAATTCATAGCTGGGTTAAAATGGATGTTCATCCCACTAAAAATGGTATCTATAGGTATTGACCCATACCCACATGGATGGTTTCTACTTTCACCAGAAAATCCACCAGTAGTGATTATGAAATATCAGTGATATCATAAGTGATTATCATAAATATATCATTTTTTGAAAAATCGCTGCTCGTCCAAAAAAGGCTACGTGGGCTATTCTTCCATGGTGATGGCCAAGAAGCTGCGTGAGCTCGGGGGTGGCAGCGTCAGGTGCTCGTCGGTGGCTAACTCGACCATGGGATTTGTAGGGTGAATCCACTCACAACTGGTGTTATACCCTCTGGTAAACATACAAAAAGCTATTGAAAATGGCCATTTATAGTGAGTTTTCCCATTAAACATGGTGATTTTCCATAGCTATGTTAGTTTACCAGAGGGTATAATCCATTTTATAAGCAGCAAGTCGGAAATTTTGGAAAATTCATGGAGACACTGGAAAATTCTATGAAATGTTCATATAGGAAAATTGGCAATTGATGGATGTTTATGCCAACTTCACAGAAAAGTATCGACAATCACCGGAAATGTATGGAACATAAATCATAGTGATTAATCAATCAGCAAGTGATATAATCCATAATATATGGATCAGCTACTGATTTAATTTTTCGGATCGGAAGATTTTTAATGGAACATTCTTCAAATTTCAGAACGATCGAGGTCACGACCTGTGAAGTGGATGCAGCCAATGCCTATGTGGCACGTGGCCTGGTAATCATGGGATAAGCGGCAGGGGCGGCAGGGGCTTCACCATCGCTACAAGTTGCCCAATGAGTTCGTGGATGACCTGAGTGATTTCAATAGGGCTAAGGTTGGTCGATAATGTGGGTGAACTCACTAAGCCACAAGAAAACTCATCCTGGCATCAAATCAAGTAGTTACAACATAAGCCATGTCCCATAGGATCCATGTATGCTATATATGGTAACATGGATCCCATCAATATACCCCCATTATGTTAGCATATATAGCAGCACCATGGATCCTATGGGTGTTGTGATATCAGGTAACGAAGAATTGGGGAATCTACTGGCCGTCATCGTTTGCTATTTTGCAGGGGATCACCTCTATCGGATTGAAGGCAGAACTCCTGCAAACACAGCAAGATTCGTGCAACAATTATATAGAGCAAAAAAGCATCGAAACATGGGGATTGCTGGCAAACATACCGTAGGAACATATTAATTGAAATGGCGTGTTTTGTTTTTTTTCAGCAGGTAAACAGTAAACATGCATAGATCAACTTTTGAGGAATATAATGAGCCTCAAGACACAGAGATGTTCTTTTTTTACCGCCACCCAGTTTGGCCCGCTGGGCTCACAGCCCCCAGATCTGGATCTTTCGATGGTCCTTGCCAGAACATGTCCATGGGATAAACATTGGCCCAATGGTCTGACAAGCTATTATGCATTTTGGAGTTGCTCTTTTATGGGGACTCTGTCGGGCTATGCCCGGCAGTGCCATTTGAAGATTTGTTTCCGGGCCCCAAGAATCGGATGGTTATACTGTAATGGTTAATTGGGAATTCATCTGTCCAAAGTCATGGAGGTACCCTGGTCGCTCGCTGGATGGTTTATTTCATGGAAAATCCCAATCTAAAATCGATGACTGGGGGTACCCCCATTGGATAGCGCCCAATTTCTTTCCGATGAACCACTAGATTTGGAGCTTGCAATCATTTACACCTTCTGGTGAAATCCGGTTTTTGTTTGCAGTAAACATATCTAAACATTGAAAAAACATAGAAGATATCTGGAAAAGACTGACCCAGTATTTTTTGTTGACATAGGTGTGGATGTGTGGATAGCCATATCCAAGATTTGATCAATCCGCCCCAATGATTGATCCTGAAATCCCGTAGATACTTCGAATCCCGGAAAAAAGCAGCTTGGTTTCGTACAAGCGGCTGGCTGATTGTACCATGGTTACCTCTCGATTTATTGTTTGATTAAATTGCGATTAAGATCAATTAATAAAGTTCATCCCGTTTCTTGGTTAAATCCAATGTTTTGCTGGTTTCACCAGCATCGAAATGATGGTTTTTCGTGTGATTTCGTGTGAATTTTACCAGCATGTTTAAAATTTTGATGGCCAGCAGTCCAGCATTTTCATGGCATTGTCGAGGTGGAGTGCTCCAGTTTGCTGGTGTGGAGGGTGAGGTCCAGGTCCGTGTTGGGCCACTCCAGCCTGTTTCGAGGTGAACGCTTGAGGTGAAGCAGCTCTTTTCGGGATTTTTCAGCGTTGCGAAATATGGGGAGTTGAACAAACATGGGAACATTGGTGAAATGTATGGGATAATGATGGTGAATGATGGTTAATAATGGTTAATAATCACTCAACTGATATGGGGAGTTGACCAAATTTGAACCTTGAGCTATCCCATGACGGATCCATTTAAGTGCTGCTATATATGGTGTGCCATGGATCCCATCAACAAAAACCCCCAATCTATGTTAGCATTAATATACCAGCACCAGCCGGATCCGTCATGGGTATTCAATCAACAACTGACTGGTGGTGACTGGAAGCCATGGAATTCCTTTCCAGAAACACTTGGGAATGGAATACTCATCCCAACTGACGAACTCAACCAGACAAGAATCGCTGATTTTTCACCCAAGAAGAATTGAGAGTTTCAACTCTTGAAACTTGGACCATTGGATGTCGAATGGTTTAGCCCAGCATTTCTGATTTTACAATGATGTTACCAACAGAACTTGAGGACTTTACTACTGAGATTTGGATTTAAACAACACAAATTGGAATTTAACTGGTTGAGCCAACTAAAATGGTTGGCTAGGTTTAGCCATCAAATTGATGAGTTAAATAGGAATATATATATATAGTATAAATCATTATAAATTAACATAATTCAACATATGAGATTCAACTTGAACCATCATACCGATGCATTTTTGTTTAAAGTTTGAGCTTGGACCATCGACCAGGGGGACAAGCTAAATGCCAGGAACATGCGCATGTTGAAAATTCGTCAGTCACGAAATATCGCACGTGGGTGTGACTGAAAATTGGGGATATGACCCCAAGATTCTATGTTTGCATATTTTGGCATATTTTTGCATATAGCATTGCAGGGAAAATGAAGCAGATTGAAGCAGTAGATTTGGGGGTATATCATGGTATATCCACCTGGTCAGCCCAACAGTTACTGTAAGCTAGTTGTGTTTCAAGCAACTTAGCTAACTGCAGGGCACTATTTTGCAACCCAACTATCATACTGTTGGTGATACAACTTTGACATCCCATCATATGCCCTTTGGATTCCTGGTTGAAGTCCCGTCATATTTTAATTTTTAATCATTTTTCAAGCCATTGATGTTCTATGATGTTCTGTCCTAATTTATCTCTTGCACTCCCATGATATCCGCATGTTTTTCCTAGATTTGCCATGCTATCCCCTTGATAGCCCCATGTTTTTCCTATGTTTTCTCATGATTTTCCCATGAGTTCCCCCTGAAAAAACCCAAGGGTGAAACTTCCAGGTGCGCCTGTGACTGGGTGGCCACTGGGCAGCTGGGCACCATCGATTTCCTGCTGCTCGATCACAGAGGGACCATCTACCATGATGCCTCTTGGCGGTGAAGAAACCCACCAGGAATATCCAGGAATATGTTTGGAATATGTGTGGCATATTTATGGTATATTTATGGTATCTGAATGGAATATTTATGGTATCTGAATGGAATATGAAAGCCACCAGGTCATATATTGGAATATTGATCATCTGAGTGGCATATGGTAGATGAATGTAGATGAATGGATGCCTCGTGGCGATCGAAACCGGGTCATCTTGGAATAATGTTGGTAAAACCGTGTCATAAACCAGCCATGACTGGGAATGGAACAGTTGATACCACCTATAAAAATGGTGATGACTGGGGGATTTGATGCCTCGAGGCGCGATACACACGGGCTGGCATAGCCACATGCTTATCTCCCAAAAAATATAACATATGAATACAATGTGAATGTGGGGATATTCGTGGAATATTACTGGAATATTGATACTAATGAATTACCCATAGGATCCATGCATGCTATATATGGATATATATGGTAACATTTATCATCAATATACCCCCAATGTTAGCATATATATACCAGCACCATGGATCCGTCATGGGTTATGTTGTGACCCACCGAAGGAGATATCTATCCATGATTTTTCGAGCGGAGGAATCCCCAATCCGATTTTTCGAGTATTGAAAAATGATTATTTCAATGGGAAAATCCTCTTTTTTAGCGCAGCAAAATTAATGGAATATGATCTCTATGAATCTATGATTCTGGATGAACTATGTTGTGCCCTCACCGTGATGTCACTGGAATGATGGTGAGTGTATGAAGCATCCCTAAATGGCCGCAAATTACAGCTATTTTCAGGTGAATCAATTAAAAATTGATTATTAATATTTATGAAGGATAATTTCAAGTAAATGTATTATCCAAGGTTCATCAAAAATGGATTCCGGCTTGATTTACTAAAAAAGAATCCTATTCCAAATGGTTATTGAGCATCAAGCATTGGAGCTCAAGCGTCAAACATGTTCAACCATTGACAATTTGGAATAAGCTATTCCAAAGTGTTGATCGGGGTAGCGATGTATTGAATCTTGTCCGTCTTAACATTAGTGTTGTCCTCTTATTCTGTCTATTGTTTTCATTTTGTTTGCACGAATTATGCAGCATATCGCCAAGCAGCCACAGACGCCAAAAAAGCGAGAAGCCACAAGCAACAAAAGCAACAAACGCAACCAAAGTCAAGAAGCCGAGAAGCCACAGAGCCCAAGAAGCCAAAAGATGCCAAAAGCAACGAAAAGCACCAAAACCAAGAAGCCCAAGACAAAAACTGACAAACCCAGAAGCCAAAAGCCCCAACAGCAGCCACAGACCGGAAAACCAAACAAAACACCACCCAGAAAAACAACATTATATACATAACAAAAACACATATACACACAATGATTCAAATACTACCGTGCAAAGTGCAAAGTACAGATTCCAGCTCCAAAATGCTGCAAACCGCGAGGAAAACTGCCCCTGCCCGTGGGAGAATTCATTGCATCCATTTATGGGAATCTATAGGGATTCGGCCAACAACTATAGGGTTTACCAAGGAAACGAGGGGTTTGAACCATGAAAAGTGAGTTGATATGTGCCCCTTCCCCCAATCATACTAGATAATGCTGTGACGGGTAGCTGCACAAATGCAGGCTTCACCTTAAAATAGTCCCATTTGGGACGTTAAGTCTCCAACTAAGTCAGTGATGTCTAGTCAGCTGCACCAAAAATGGCGTTCACATGTTAATTGCTCCACCGTGGGCAACCCTGGCTGCAAACCCAAACTTGGGGATGGAAAACATACCCCTTTTCAATGGATTGGTTTAAGGGAAAATTCACAGGAAACAATAGATTTTCCCATTAAATATGGGGTTTTCCTGTAAATTTTCCCTTAATCCAATCCATTGACCTTTGGGGTTTCTGGGACCAAGGACCTTCACGCGGCGGAGACGAGCCTCTCCGAAAAAGCCCGGCCTCAGAGTGAAGGTCAGTGGGAACGATCAAAGTTGGTGAACATAACTCCAATAACTGTGGTTTATGGTACTTATAACTATAGTTAATATTAGTTAATGGGGTTTATAAACCAATTTGGAACTAGGGGGCATAACTATTTATAACTATAGTTAATGGGGTTTATAAACCAATTTATAGGGGGCATCATGAACTATGGGAGTTACAGTAGTTTGATCAGGTATACCCCAGTTGGCCACTGGTGAATCATCATACTCCAAACCAAAATGATAAATCGTACATTGAACTGAAGTCTTATTTTGAGGAGTATCCCCATGTTCAAACCGAACAACGATATGTTTCCCAATATTCAGATCAATGAAAAAAACATGTACCCAACTGGCAACAGCGCCAATGACTGTCAGTTCTCAGGACTCCGTGATCGAAATTCTGTGTTTAATGTGGTAAAACCAAAAGCTGAAGTCCTTTGCAGCCCTTTGCTGGTTATGGTCAAATGATTGTTACAAACCCAAACGTAATAAAATCTAAGTAGTGTGGTAGACCCCAAAGTTTTTTGTGGGGGATATGGCTCTAATGTTATCAATACCCTGTCCACCATTGCTGGATTGTTGGGTCAGCTCTGGGTGTACAGCCTGGTCCCGTAACACGTCATTGATCTATCAGCTGAGGCCTTAGTCTTTGCGGACAACGTCTTGTATCCGGGAGCGCCGTTGGGAACCTTGGAGCGAGTTGAGACACGTGAAAACAACTGAGTTTCGAGCAGCGACTTGAACCAGGGATGCCAAGGTTGTTCTTGAACTACATTGACGTCCAGGGATATAAGATTGAGATCCACGAGCTCAAGGAGTGATGCCTATAAAGAAGAAAAGGTCATGCCTGTGAAGAAGCAAGGGCCATGCTGATCATGCGTCATACAACGGCTTTTTAAAAGAATAATTGTGGCCGAAAATCAAATATGATGTTTATTTTGTTTGGCTGAGTTGGACTGCAATCATTTGGTTGGGCAGGAGTTCAAGAGACCGGATTTGGATGATTGGGTATGGAGCTTAGGAAGGGCAACAGTGGTGGGCTGTAAGAGTTTTCTTAGGGAAGGGAGGGAAGGGCGGGAAGGGTAGTGTTCCTGCAGCGATTCATGAGAATGCTCATACGCAGATTCTGAATTTGTTGAATGTTTTTTCCATGCCATGGTAGTACTTGGTGGTTCATCCCACGGATCGTAAGTGGGTTAGTTCACCCCAGTTGTAAGCGGATATAAGTGGATTAAACCTACTTGTCCCACCTATAAGTGGGGTTCGAATGGGATGAGCCATGGTAGTAGTACCCCTGAGGTTCCTCAACCGTTCAGATGCCAGGTGGTCATTTGCCGACCACCTCCCCTGGCGGAGCGGCGAGAAATGCAGAGACACTCAGATTTTGGAACAAGGATCATCAATCATCATCTTACTGGTGCTTTTATTCGGGAATGAGGAAATGAGAGGAAACCCATAGGATCCATGGTGCTGCTATATATGGTAACATTTACCATCAATATACCCCAAATGTTAGCATATATACCATACAGGGATCCTATGGGAAATTTTCATGGTGCTATGTTCATAACTTTCATAAGTATTTTCACAATTCATCTTACTGGTGCTTGATTCGTAGGGAAATGGGGGGAATGATCCGTAATAATCCGTATAATAACTATATGCTTAATTAGTACCCTCTGGTTATGACTAACATAGCCATGGTATAGATGGCCCATAGAAATAGATGGTTTACCTATTAAAAATGGGTGGATCTTTCCATGATGTTAGTCATAACCAGATGGTAAAACAAACTACAAATTAGGGAAGGATCCGTAATAACTCTAAACACTTATCCCATTCCCCCATTCCCGAAAAAGAACGCACCAGAAAGTCCTGGTCTCGGCCGTTTTTGCTCCAAAATTGGGCAAATCTCACTGGATTGGTGGGAAGATCTACAGGTTTTACCATGGGTTTTCCATGGGTTTTCCCATGGGTTTATCAAAGTCATAGGGGTTTCCTGTAAACCATGGGGGTTTTCCTATGGGAAAAACCGGGAAAACCTCCATTGAAAATCTGTCATCAGGATCCTAAGCATCGACATGGATTAATGATGCTTGGGAGGTGTCTTTCCACATCCGCTCGGCGATTCGCTGAATTCATGGACCAACGTAAAAAAAACACATTATTCGAAGTGCCAATAAAAAAGAAGATAGCCTTTGGTAATTTAACAGGTTAGATTAGTATAGATGATTTAGATTGCTGTGAACATGGCCTATCTATAGATGATTCAGTTTGCTATGGAAGCCACGGACCATTTAGTTCGATAATTTTCCCGTGCTAGAAACATCCATGGCTAGGCCATGGGGATAACATGAATGGCGTATGTTTTTTTTGTTTGCGTGTTAAGTTGTATTTGTATGTATTTGTCATTATAGTTTCTATAATCTATATTTAGTATTCGTAGTGTTACACTTCTTAATAAACTGCTAGTGCTAAAGTTACCCGGCCTGGTAAACGTTTACATAACTATATGGAAAATCACCATTTTCAATGAGTAAATCCACTATAAATCAGCATGTTCAATGAGTAAATCCACTATAAATCAGCATTTTCAATGAGTAAATCCACTATAAATCAGCATTTTCAATGAGTAAATCCACTATAAATCAGCATTTTCAATGAGTAAATCCACTATAAATCAGCATTTTCAATGAGTAAATCCACTATAAATCAGCATTTTCAATGAGTAAATCCACTATAAATCAGCATGTTCAATGAGTAAATCCACTATAAATCAGCATGTTCAATGAGTAAATCCACTATAAATCAGCATGTTCAATGAGTAAATCCACTATAAATCAGCATTTCAATGAGTAAATCCACTATAAATCAGCATTTCAATGAGTAAATCCACTATAAATCAGCATTTTCAATGAGTAAATCCACTATAAATCAGCATTTTCAATGAGTAAATCCACTATAAATCAGCATTTTCAATGAGTAAATCCACTATAAATCAGCATTTTCAATGAGTAAATCCACTATAAATCAGCATTTTCAATGAGTAAATCCACTATAAATCAGCATGTTCAATGAGTAAATCCACTATAAATCAGCATGTTCAATGAGTAAATCCACTATAAATCAGCATGTTCAATGAGTAAATCCACTATAAATCAGCATTTTCAATGAGTAAATCCACTATAAATCAGCATTTTCAATGAGTAAATCCACTATAAATCAGCATTTTCAATGAGTAAATCCACTATAAATCAGCATTTTCAATGAGTAAATCCACTATAAATCAGCATTTTCAATGAGTAAATCCACTATAAATCAGCATTTTCAATGAGTAAATCCACTATAAATCAGCATTTTCAATGAGTAAATCCACTATAAATCAGCATTTTCAATGAGTAAATCCACTATAAATCAGCATTTTCAATGAGTAAATCCACTATAAATCAGCATTTTCAATGAGTAAATCCACTATAAATCAGCATTTTCAATGAGTAAATCCACTATAAATCAGCATTTTCAATGAGTAAATCCACTATAAATCAGCATTTTCAATGAGTAAATCCACTATAAATCAGCATTTTCAATGAGTAAATCCACTATAAATCAGCATTTTCAATGAGTAAATCCACTATAAATCAGCATGTTCAATGAGTAAATCCACTATAAATCAGCATTTTCAATGAGTAAATCCACTATAAATCAGCATTTTCAATGAGTAAATCCACTATAAATCAGCATGTTCAATGAGTAAATCCACTATAAATCAGCATTTTCAATGAGTAAATCCACTATAAATCAGCATTTTCAATGAGTAAATCCACTATAAATCATCATTTCAATGAGTAAATCCACTATAAATCAGCATTTTCAATGAGTAAATCCACTATAAATCAGCATTTTCAATGAGTAAATCCACTATAAATCAGCATGTTCAATGAGTAAATCCACTATAAATCAGCATGTTCAATGAGTAAATCCGCTATAAATCAGCATGTTCAATGAGTAAATCCACTATAAATCAGCATGTTCAATGAGTAAATCCACTATAAATCAGCATGTTCAATGAGTAAATCCACTATAAATCAGCATTTTCAATGAGTAAATCCACTATAAATCAGCATTTTCAATGAGTAAATCCACTATAAATCAACATTTCCAATGAGTAAATCCACTATAAATCAGCATTTTCAATGAGTAAATCCACTATAAATCAGCATTTTCAATGAGTAAATCCACTATAAATCAGCATTTTCAATGAGTAAATCCACTATAAATCAGCATTCTCAATGAGTAAATCCACTATAAATCAGCATTTTCAATGAGTAAATCCACTATAAATCAGCATGTTCAATGAGTAAACCCACTATAAATCAGCATGTTCAATGAGTAAATCCACTATAAATCAGCATGTTCAATGAGTAAATCCACTATAAATCAGCATTTTCAATGAATAAATCCACTATAAATCAGCATTTTCAATGAGTAAATCCACTATAAATCAGCATTTTCAATGAGTAACTCCACTATAAATCAGCATTTTCAATGAGTAACTCCACTATAAATCAGCATGTTCAATGAGTAACTCCACTATAAATCAGCATGTTCAATGAGTAACTCCACTATAAATCAGCATTTTCAATGAGTAACTCCACTATAAATCAGCATTTTCAATGAGTAAATCCACTATAAATCAGCATGTTCAATGAGTAAATCCACTATAAATCAGCATGTTCAATGAGTAAATCCACTATAAATCAGCATGTTCAATGAGTAAATCCACTATAAATCAGCATGTTCAATGAGTAAATCCACTATAAATCAGCATGTTCAATGAGTAAATCCACTATAAATCAGCATTTTCAATGAGTAAATCCACTATAAATCAGCATGTTCAATGAGTAAATCCACTATAAATCAGCATGTTCAATGAGTAAATCCACTATAAATCAGCATTTTCAATGAGGAAATCCACTATAAATCATCATTTTCAATGAGGAAATCCACTATAAATCAGCATTTTCAATGAGTAAATCCACTATAAATCAGCATTTTCAATGAGTAAACCCACTATAAATCAGCATTTTCAATGAGTAAATCCACTATAAATCAGCATTTTCAATGAGTAAATCCACTATAAATCAGCATTTTCAATGAGTAAATCCACTATAAATCAGCATTTTCAATGAGTAAATCCACTATAAATCAGCATTTTCAATGAGTAAATCCACTATAAATCAGCATTTTCAATGAGTAAATCCACTATAAATCAGCATTTTCAATGAGTAAATCCACTATAAATCAGCATTTTCAATGAGTAAATCCACTATAAATCAGCATTTTCAATGAGTAAATCCACTATAAATCAGCATTTTCAATGAGTAAATCCACTATAAATCAGCATTTTCAATGAGTAAATCCACTATAAATCAGCATGTTCAATGAGTAAATCCACTATAAATCAGCATGTTCAATGAGTAAATCCACTATAAATCAGCATTTCAATGAGTAAATCCACTATAAATCAGCATGTTCAATGAGTAAATCCACTATAAATCAGCATGTTCAATGAGTAAATCCACTATAAATCAGCATTTTCAATGAGTAAATCCACTATAAATCAGCATTTTCAATGAGTAAATCCACTATAAATCAGCATTTCAATGAGTAAATCCACTATAAATCAGCATCAATGAGTAAATTATAAATCAGCAATGAGTAAATCCACTATAAATCCGTTCAATGAGTAAATCCACTATAAATCAGCATGTTCAATGAGTAAATCCACTATAAATCAGCATGTTCAATGAGTAAATCCACTATAAATCAGCATTTTCAATGAGTAAATCCACTATAAATCAGCATTTTCAATGAGTAAATCCACTATAAATCAGCATTTTCAATGAGTAAATCCACTATAAATCAGCATTTTCAATGAGTAAATCCACTATAAATCAGCATTTTCAATGAGTAAATCCACTATAAATCAGCATTTTCAATGAGTAAATCCACTATAAATCAGCATTTTCAATGAGTAAATCCACTATAAATCAGCATGTTCAATGAGTAAATCCACTATAAATCAGCATTTTCAATAGCTATGTTTGACATCACCAGAGGCTAAAAATTCGATGCTCTGGAGCCCTGGAGCTGTGAGGCCAGAGTCCACCCCTGCGGAGCTGCGGCGCTTGTCCGCCGAGGCGCGAGGGGTTCCGGGGAGTCCATGGCATATTGGTTCCTAGTCTAATCCCATGCTCCAAAATTCTCATGGGATGTTCAATATTCATATATATATACATACATGCAGAAATTATATAGATGTACAATGGTGTATATACCAGAAATGGCTTTAACAACGACAATTCCATATCAATAGTTCCACTGGTTGGTGGTTTCAAACATGTTTTATTTTCCATAATATATGGGATAATCCTTCCCATTGACTAATATGTTTCAAGATGGTCAAAAACACCAACCAGGTAAAGTACCCAACCTGGTTATTTGTGGGAAAATGGGGGAATTTCTTGTGGAAAATCATCTATAAATGATGGGAATCATAATATACCAAACATGGAAAAATAGTGATTTACCCTCTGGTTATTTATCATACTAGTAGGAGGTTACTGTTAAAGTTCATAACATACCATATAACTATGGTATATATAATTCCCATTTGGTTATTTGTTACATAGCCACGGTATGGATGGCTCATTTATAGATGGTTTACCTATTAAAGATAGTGATTTTCCATGGCGAACTGTTAAATAACCAGATGGGAACTGGTTGGTGGTTTCTCCCGATTGTTTTTCTCAAATCCTATTGTTGATGGTTAAGCTTAAATCTGGTTGGTGGTTTGGAACCATGGAATTTGATGACTTTCCATTCACTTGTTTTTTTCATGATCCCAACTGACGAACTCCATGATTTTTCAGAGGGGTAGGTCAACCACCAACCAGATAACTAGGGGTAATATTTACCTATTGGTTTTACTTATTGTACCTTTAATCAATATAATGCTACATGATTGATATGGTGGTTGGGTCATGTGGGTAAAACAATAAGCCATCCCCCAATTTCACCATTTTTATAGGTGGTATAAACACGTATAAACCATTCCCAAATGGGTTGTTTATGGCATTGTTTCACCCACAATTACAAGAGTATGTACAACTGATGATGATCGTAGTCTCAGGGCGGTACCAGGAGCAACGTAACATGCAAGATTGGCTTTTGGGGATGTTCCAGCCACTTTGTGTTTCTTTTGAAACAAGTTGGGAAATCTAGAAATGAGGTGTTCATCCACTTTGATTCATTTCTTGTCAAAAACACATGTTCCGTGGGGACATGTAGGTTTTGACTCCATGGTTTTGGGGAAGCTTAGGGGCAGGTCTCCAAAACTGGGAAGATGAGTTGTTGGTTCCAAAGGATGCCAAAAACTGAGGCTCTTTGTAAGACGGTTTTGGCAAGGTTCCCCCAACCTGCGATATATCTGGGTAAACTATAACGACCTCACTGCGACCTCACTGGAATAATAGTTAGTAAGGGGAACCATCCCCAAGATAGCCTTATTTCAGGTTAGTGAATTATTGTAATTTGCCCAGATATATATATATAATATAATCGTTTCGCAATGGCAAGGTTTATTGCCATGTGGATTCTTGAGTTTGGATGTTCAGAGTCGGGGCTGTCATCTTCTGACTGATCATCCGGCGAAATTTACATCAGGTTTACTTGAACGCGCGGTGGTAACAAACCATAAATCACTCGTAACCTCACTAGTCACTAGGTGTATTGGATACCTATTCCGAATCCATCGTGCTTTCAAGGATCATCCCAGTCTAGTGGATTCTGCGATATCGATATCAAATGCCTTGGAAATTGAGGATGGTGAGAAAAAGTGTCTTGGAAATTCTTTGGAAAAGAAGTACCCTCTGGTAATTTAACATAACTATGGAAAACCACCATGCTATTAATGGGAAAATCCACTATTTCTACGGCCATTTTCAATAGCTTTTTGTATGTTTACCAGAGGGTATTGGGAACAAGCAGTCTTACGGAGCTTGTACCAAGCACCCGAGACACTTTTCCAAACTTGACGCCAGGTGGATGCCATCTCTTGGCGAAGTCAGGAACAGTTTGGGCCTTACTGGGCCCTTTAAGACCGTCCCGTGGCTCTCCAGCATTTTTCCAGTATTCTTCCATTGAAAAAAGCCATGCAAGACTTGAAGGTCTTCGGCATTTTGCTGAGTTTTTCATTCAAAATCACAATTCGTTGATAATTTGTTGCATTCAACACCATTATTTGATTATTTAACACCACAATCAGTTTTTAATGATCAAACAATTTTGATTATATATGTGTTACTTTTGATTACTTTTGTTTGATCCTTAAAACGATGTTAACACGCGCGATTTTTGATGGTCCATGTCAGCACCATGACGAAGCAGAGGGATCCACAATGCGGCTTCAGCATAGAATTGTTTCTCCATGGAAGCCATAAACATATCATTTGAGCAGTGGCTGCTAAACCCCTGTTGGTTGATGATTAGTTGGGGCATTACCCTCTGGTGAACTAACATAGCAATGGAAAATTGCTATTTATAGTGGATTTTCCCATTAAAAATGGTGATTTTCCATTGCTATGTTAGTTCACCAGAGGGTAGTTGGGGCATTATACTACCCTTCAAAAAAAATTGGGATTTTCATAATCCAAGAACGGGGAATCCTGATTTTAACCAGCCAGAACAAAACGGAATGATAGAGGGATTTATTTCACACTGCTCATTTGGGGATGGTAATTTATATGCCAGACCACCCATAAAAATGGTGATGACTTTGGGATGGTTTACTCAATATTGGGTTTACCACATTCTTGGGCATGTTTTATTGTAATTCGCATATATGACTTGCCATATTCCTGTAGTACTATAGTGGATCCCCTCTTCCACTTAAAAGAATGTGCGGTTTATTTGCCCGAGTCAGGTCCGTAGATTGGGTGGCCTTTCAGAGCCTTGGCTACAACTGGGGTATACCCCGAATATCTGGCAATGTTAAGAGCAAGTCAGGATTTTACCCACACAGAAGGGAATTGTTTCCACTATTTAGGCTTGCGCTATCTTGCACGTGATCTCTATAAGAGCGTTCCGGACAACAGTTTGTATCGTGAAGGTGCCAAAGTTTAAGGTCCTCCGTCCTTGATGCTGTCACAAGACACAGTGCCTTTGACAGTCCTTTGAGATATAATGAGTGCAATTGAATTGTTGTTCTGCACGTTGATTTTGGTAGTATTCGGGATTTCCTTCTTTCTCCCAACCAAAACTGACCAATGTCAGCCGCTGAGGACGCGCTTGAAGCCAATTTTCTATCAATGGAAAGAGGAAAGAGGCCTTTGATTAAAAAAAATATATTTAAAATTATTTTCCTTCGTGTGATCCCCACCATGACATTTATACATTTTCTTATTGACAAATCTTCTGGCATTCTATCTGACATATCTTCTGACATTCTATCTGACATATCTTCTGACATTCTATCTGGCAAATCTTCTGCCATTCTATTTGATATATCTTCTGGTATATTATCTGGTAAATCTTCTGGAATTCTATTTGGTATATCTTGTGGCATTCTATCTGGCATATTTTCTGGTATATTTTCTGACATTTTATTTGGCATATCTTCTGCTGATATATTATTTGGTAATTTTTTGGCATATCTTCTGGTATATTTTTTGGTATATCTTTTGGCATATTTTTTGGTATATTATATTATTTGGCAAATTTTCTGGGATTCTATTTAATATATTTTGTGGTATTTTATTTGATGTTTTATTTTAATATTTAGAAAATAATTGATATTTTTTTAATAATCGGAATTCCTCGCCACTTATCCCGACTTGAATTTTACCTATGGGGTCGAAACTATTATTTTATACTAAAATCTTAAAATTCTTGGCTTTAATTATTATAAAATAATGGTTTTTAATTTTTAGGTTTAGGGAATTATGGAAAATAATACTATAATATTGATACAGAGAGTTGCTAAAGTCGTGCCTAGATTAGTGGGAATTGTTGAAAATAGCTTCGGAGTACTTGATTTTGAAAAGTCGTGTCTTTTTGTGAATTTTTTTTGGTTTTTATAATCGGATCCATGATTTTATATAAATCCTGCATTCATTTGGTGTGTTGGTGTTCAATATGTTGGGCAAAGACTTCACATCTGAGTTACTTAAGACTTGGTCGTTGTATTTAGTTGGTGTTTTGATGTTGGGAAAAGATTTTACATCTGACTTACTTAAGATTTGGTCGTTGCATTTAGTTGGTGTTTTGATGTTGGGCAAAGACTTTACATCTGAGTTACTTAAGACTTGGTCGTTGCATTTAGTTGGTGTTTTGAGTAGCTATGTTTTCCGTTATATTATTGGAACGTACTAGGAGCCTTATGTTGTTTAGCTATCATGTGGGGAGTGGCCTTTCCTAGGGAATGAGTTGACGTCGTTTTTTTTTCCAATATATATTATATCCCGTATCTCACACTTCACTTTCAGATTCACTATTCATTTCACAATAAACCATTATCAAAAACGATCCATAAGCGGCTTGCTCTGCCGCCCATGCAACTCAAAAACCCAACACTTCCTACAGGCTACTATTTTTGAAACTTCCGCCACCGCCTTGTGCGGTACTATTGGTATCAGTTAATCAAAATGAAGCAAAGGTTTCTGCTGCATTTAGATGGTGATTTGGGTTGCGGGCATGACATAGGCATGACTTCCTGGAAATTGCATTTAGATGGGGGAAAGCAGATTTTTAGCACACAGGCGTGACTTAGGCATGAGTTTCGCGCTTTCCTGTATAAAATAAAAATTAATTTTTATTATGAGATTATTTGAAATGGAAATTTTACCATTGTAAAATAAAAATTTATTTTAATATAATTTTATTATTAAATTATTTAAAGGAAATATTTCCGAAAATTAATTTCCTTTGCTATAAAATGAAATTGGATTTTATATAATATTTTCCGATGGATAATTTATTTTATTATAAAATAATTTTTAATATTTAAAGGTTTTTAATTATCGAAATAATAATAATTTATAAATTATAATTTTTATAAATATAAAATATCTAGTCCATTCTTATTTATTTATCCTAATTTAAGCCCGGAAATATTCTTGAAACGGGATACAAGGTTTCCTATTTTATATTAAAAATTCGAATGGGAATTATCGTAATTATATTAGACATTTCTCGTCGGTTCCCTTTTAAAAATTCTTCTTTGATCCTTAAATAATTAGAATATCTCGCCACCTCCCTATTAAAAATTATTCGTCGCCCCCAAAGCAACCGGAAATTTTTGCCGTTTTTTAAAAAAAATATAGCAAATTTCATAATCCTTAATAATAATAAAAAATATTAGAAAATAATATCCAAATAATAACAAAAATAATATAAATAAAAATAAATATTAATTATAATTAATTTTAAATAATTAATATATATTTTATATTATTTTAATTCTCGGATAAAATTCAAATTAAATATTAAAATGTTTAATATATAATAAATAAACATTATTTAAATATATTTAATATTTAATAATTAAATTTATATATTATTTATTTTATATTTATTAAAAATATAAATATTTGAATTATAGACCATATTTGTTACATAACGTAATTAACGGGGTAGGTAAGTTCCTACCTCGTTCTCCAATCCCGTAACATTTTTATCTACCTCGTTCTCGGGGTATTCCTACCTCATTTTACAAGCTAAATATAATATTTTTAACAAACCGGGGTATGTCCGAATACTATTTTCCATATATACAGATAAGAGCCGTCGCTCATTTAATAATAATTATTCCAGAATATTTAAACAGATTTTTTTTTCCAATAATAAGGGTCTATTTCTCACCTTCTTATCTTAATATCCTCTCATCTTCACATCTTCTCCTCTTCATATCTTCACATCCTCTCTTCTCCTCTTCACATCTTCTCATCTTCACATCTTCTCACCTTCACATATTCTCATCTTCACATCTTCTCATCTTCACATCTTCTCATCTTCACACCTCTCTCTCTCCTCTTCTCCTCTTCTCCTCTTCTCCTCTTCTCCTCTTCTCCTCTTCTCCTCTTCTCCTCTTCTCCTCTTCTCCTCTTCTCCTCTTCTCCTCTTCTCCTCTTCTCCTCTTCTCCTTCTTCTCTATTTCTCTTCTGAAGGTGGGGGCAGGGGCAGTGCCAACGAGATGGCACGAAACGCAACCCTTTCGCACGAAACGAGGTTCGATCGCCAAGAATTGAGGTAAAATTGCGATTTCAACTTGTCCCGCGCAACCCTTTCGCATGAAACGATGTTCGATCGCCAAAAACTGAAGTAAAATTGCGATTTCAACTTGTCCGGCGCAACCCTTTCGCACGAAACGATGTTCGATCGCCAAAAACTGAGGTAAAATTGCGATTTGAAGGTGTCCCGCGCAACCCTTTCGCACGAAACGAGGTTAGATCGCCAAAACAAGGATTTTACTTTGCATCCTCTAGAGCCTCTTGTGTCTGGTGATATGTCACACTTGATTGGGTGGTGAGAACTTCAAGAAAATCACGTGGCTGAGATCCTTACTGTAGCTCTGCCAAACATAGATTCTGCCTAAACTTTCCTCTACAAGTTGGCGATTTTCGGGGCCTATGTTGTAGGGAAGGTAACACTAGCAACTTCATTTTTACCAACATACTAGCAACTTGCTAGTGCTGTCAAAATCCCATCTATGGCAATATCACCATAGTCAATTCTTCCCCATAGTGATATTATATAAAATCATTACCATAGATACTTCCCCATTTTGCCCATTCATTCGTGATTCTATAGTCATTTTATGCTCATCCTACACAGCCCCGCAGGAATAGTGACGCGGCGAACGAGATCATCAGCGAGATGCGCTTGAAGAAGATGAACACCAACGTGGCGGAGGCGGCGAATCGTGCACGTTGGCCCAGATGGTCTCCCGAGCCTGGTAGGGGATTTTTTTAGGTGGGGTGGTTAGCCCCAATGTATCAGCTTCAGGACTTGAGGTTGGTGAATTTGAGTGCAATTGATCCAGAGAAGTGGCTTCAGTTGATGGGAAAACGTCATGGAGCTTCCTGCAGTGATGGTTGGACATGCAGGACTCAGAATCCAAGGTTGACTTAAGGGATCTCCGGGAATTCCTGGTTATGACTCAAAATCTGATGAGTGTCGTAGATATCATCTTTTTCCCAGAAACATAGGGGATATATGATATGATGATATCATATGATATCATATCCCATAGGATCCATGGTGCTGCTATATATGGTGCTCCATGGATCCCATCAATATACCCCCTTTATCAGGGGCGTGCCCAAAAGCCAAACTGGGGCTGTCATTGTGTAGGAAATCAACCTTGTTTTTGTTTCACCATTACGGATTGTAGAGCTAATGAACGGGGATATCAAGTATGGGTATATATCAACTGGGTATATACGCGAAACGCCTACTAACAAGAACGGACATCATAGATTTCGAGGTCCTCGAATGAATGATTGCCTGGAATGATGAGTGGAACGCGTCAATGCGAGGAACTGTTCATATGATATATCAGCAAGTTGGCTACAATTTCGTGATAGGCCTTAGGCATATATGCCAACCATAGCGGGCTGCTTGTCATCCCGTTATTCCTGGTAGATGCCAGCAAGACTATCTTATTAATATGGTATTCCCATTATTAAAGCCATTTACGCACGGATTTCGATCCCATTATGGTTGGCAGATGTTCTCATTACTCTTTCCTCGGTTTAGCATTCTGGAGCTCTATTGTTGCCGCTCTTGGCCCCACGGGACCAACAGCATCCGGCCGCATGCCGCAAGTTTATGATGGATCTATCAATTCCCGACGTGCAGCGTCAATGGGCATTCTACATATCTAAGGCATAATCGCTTAACTACATTTCAGCACGTCCGTTTTTCCGCCCATCGTCTGGAAGGGATGTGGATGTGAGGGAGCGGAACGGAGTGGAAGAGGTGGTCCTAGATATTTGATTTTGCTTGGCCGCATCTTACACATACAGATAGTATACATATATATATATATATTACCGAATAATTTGATGGACGAGGGCCGTTTTCATAAGATTTTGGTGGAAGAGATGGGTACAGAAAGAAGGATGAATGGGGGAGGGAGCAGATGGCTCTTAGGGTGCTGGAATGAAGCACACCCGAGGACATTGGCGTGGACAACGATATTGCAGTGCAGAGCGGTTTTGGCCATGAACCAGGGTAGTGCAAAACACAACAAAAATACCCAACGGCTAGGCCTGGCTTGGAAAAAGCACTCGCCGCACCAGGCGCGCAAAAAGCGCCCGCCCCAGGCGCGCAAGAAGCGCGCGC